TTCCATCATCATCTTTACTGTCGACATTTATTTTCCATGCTAAAGGATTTTGTTTGTACCCTTAGCAATAAAAATATAACATAAATTGCTGTCTATTTTCAGCTTAGTGAATGTATAGAAGGAGTAAAGGTAGAGCACAATCCTGACCTGTCAGTTACTGTCAGCACCAAAAAATCCCACCAGACATGGACCTTTGCTTTCACCTGTAAGGTATGAATTTTGTGCTAGTTAAAGCGTATAAATTTTGTTTAATTTTCTCAAAGTTTTTTTTTTACCTTTGAATCTCTGTGTTAAAAGAATATTGAAAATATTTTAATCTAAGTACATTATACTATATTGTACTAAAGTGTATTTCTGTATTTTGATCATTAAAAGTACAATTTAAAAAATACTTTTAAATGAGATCTTTGTAGATATTTAGGGTGCTTTTGTATGTATTTGGTAAAGAGGTATTTTACATATTATAGTCTAAACTTGGGACATAGGATGGGGTTCATGGCTTATAATTACTTGAAAATTGTTTAATCTGGCAGTTCTAAGATTTTTAAACCATAACAACTTGTTTTTATATTTGATTTGATGAAGTCACAAATTCTGTGACAATGGATTTTTAATATGGGGCATTTTCTGCATTGCTTCCCATCTTAAATTATATTAGTCAAAGTTGAAGAATGAAGCACAGTAAAAAGTTTCCATGCATATGCTTAGTGGAAAAGTTTTTGTCTTTTTTTGTGGCGTTTCTTCTGCTGTACTTTCTGTATCTGGAGATGAAAATTCTAAGAATAGTTAGCTTCAGACTTGAACCCAATCCAGTGCTTTCCAAGGTAACTGCCCTCTTTTGAAGGCTTCCTACTTGAGGCTACATGAATGTAGAAGAGTATGGAAAGTTGGAGGTTGATGGTTATAGAGGATGAAAACTTTTGCCACAATGAAAAATGAACATATTACAGGAAGAGAAGGGAGGCTATCAATGTAGCATAAATATATAATTTTAACAACTGATTTTTTTCTTTTAAGCACAATTTGTGTTTTAAACATAGTATGTTAGAAACTTGGGGAAGTAAAAGTCCCTTATGGAAATATTTTCATTGAAGAGCCCAATTACAATTGGATTTTTTTACCCCCTTGTACTCAATGAATTATTTTAACTTCCTTGTAGCCTGTGAGAATGCTGTATCGTGTAGCATTGCTTTATGATGCTCATCATCCTCATTTTAGTATCACTGCAATATCTGCCAGAGATAGCACTACTCAGGTATCACAAGAAGTCCCAGAAAACTGTCAAGAATGGATAGGAGGAAAGATGGCCCAAAATGGATTAGATCATTATGTGTATAAAGTCAGGATAGCATTTAACACAGAAATATTTGGAACTTTTCGCCAAACCATAGTTTTCGACTTTGGATTGGAACCAGTACTGATGCAAAGAGTAATGGTTGATGCAGCTTCTACAGAAGGTAATATTTAGACTTTTCTCCCCCTGATAAGATGTATTAAAAAGCAACTTTCAAAAATATGTATTGGCCCCTAAATATATTCCATGGATAGGAAGGGAATAATAATAATAAAGAAAAAAATCCTGAATTAATTGACTCATTTACTGTGTAATGGCTTATAATGGTTCACACTGTGCCCTGGTTTCTTCTTATAGCCACCAGGCACAGCTTGAGCTTTGAGGTTCCCCAAACTTGTATGAGCAGATGATCAGGCCTGCTTTGGTGTACCAATTTCATTTCACAGTAATATCTTTCAATGTTAGTTTGGGTAGAATATCATTTTATGGTAATTGTGTTTATACCTACAATGTTTATTTTCATGTCCTATTGACTAGTTAACTTTGCTAATGTTAATACATTATTTCTGAAAGAAAAGTCTTCAGTAAAATAAGCCTTCATAAATCTTTTTGTGCATCCACTAGTGTTAAAAAGGCCAAGGTGCCTTTAATAAAATCTGAGCTTTGGTTTTGGGACAGGGTCCCTGGTTTCAACATGTAAGTGTGACATAAGGAATTATTTTGTACATTGTCAGTTTATTGCTTATACCTAAATTTTATGCCAAGATTAAACAGGACAAAGAAAAGGCCTGTTAGCCCACATTTCCTTTGCTCTTAGTTGGATTAATAGGTGCTTTATTCTTTTTAACAAAAGCTAAATATTTATTTAACAAACACTTCAAAAAGCAGACTGTATGAAACTTAATTTTGTATTGCTTATAACTATCCATATTGTGGAGGACGCTTTACTATGTGCCACAATGTCCCATTCATGAGAACCTAGAAGAATTGTTTTTCTCAGGAGCGAATACTAGCATTTTATTTGTTTTCACATAGTGTAAAGGTGAAGTTGGTCTGTGTTCCTCTTTACTTTAGCTGCTAGTAAGGTCGAAACAATGATGGTGCCCAAATTTTACAATTAGGTGACGTCTTCTATGTGTGCTAATATTACCCAGACTTCATTTAACCCTTATTTCCCACTGACTTTGATCCCTTTTACTTGTTTTTATTCTTTATTATGAATTGTCATCTTTCCAGTACTCTTTGGAATCAGAATAAATTAATTTCCATAGCTAATAGATATGGTACTTGATAAAACAAAAATAAATTATTTGGTTTATACCTATTACCATAGTATTTGGCAAATTCTTTCTGCAGAGGGCCAGATAGTTAATATTTTAAGTATTGCAGGGCAGGTGTCTCTGTAGCAACTACTCAGCTCTGCTTTGTAATGAGAAAGCAGCCTCAACAATGCATAAACAAATGGGTGTGACTGTATTCCAATAAAACTTTATTTTTAAAAACAATGGCTGCATTTGACTTTGATGTTTTAGTTTGACTACCCCTATACCAGTAAGTTGCTTTTTGAGAACTACTAGGCAGTATCCTTTTCCAATCATAAAGAGATTGAAGTCATAAAGAGAGACCAGCATACATTTCCTATCCTCAGATATAACTGTAAAGGATATTCTTGGCTTACATGTGGGCTGTATTTTAGAAGTTTGCTTGTAGATTAGGGGCTTACAACTCAGTCTTCTTTACCTGTAGAAATGTTGTCAGTGTTGTCAAGAATTCTTACTAGTTAATACAATATCTAATTAATAATATAAAATGTTAAATGTCTACAGTAAAATATAAAAGAATGATACTATTAAAACAGATGATGATAATTAGCGAAGGTGGTGGTGAAGAGGAGTTCAGGGCACTTTCATAGGCTTGAGAAGAGTAAAGATACTTTAACTACTTCTGCCTCAGATGTGTGTTACTTTTCTAGTCAGAGAAGAATAGCAGTGGACAAAATTCAGAGTCAAATACAATAGGATTTGAGTTCTGATTTTCTACTTAATATCTGTGTGAGCCTGGGCAGAGTACTTAACTTTTCTGAGCTTCATGGGGAAACATCTGTAAAATGGGGGCAGTTGTATCTGTCATAGAGTATTGTGAGAACCTGAAACCTTGTAGGACATCTGGCTCATAGTAGACATTTACTTAATAGTAGTTATTATGTTTATCATTAGCCTTGATTAGGATAATTTCTTGCTTATATACAAAAGGAAGAATGTAGGAAAAGAGAAGAGTTGGGTTTTTTTTTGGTTGTTTTGTTTTGTTTTTGTTTTTTAAAATGAGGACTCGGATTAGGGTACAGCTAGAGGAATTAAAAAACAGAGATGAAGACGCGAGCCCCTGAGGCCACAGTGCCTGCAGATTTTGGCAACAACACAGTATTGGAGTTGAAAGCTAAGTTTTCTGGGGGCGCAGTGGCTTACGCCTGTAATCCCAGCACTTTGGGAGGCCAAGACGGGCAGATCATGAGGTCAAGAGATCAAGACCATCCTGGCCAACATGGTGAAACGCCATCTCTACTAAAAATATAAAAATTAGCTGGGCATGGTGGCATGTGACTGTATAGTTCCAGCTATTCTAGGGGCTGAGGCAGGAGAATCACTTGAACCCGGGAGGCAGAGGTTGCAGTGAGCTGAGATTGCACCACTGCACTCCAGCCTGGCTACAGAGTGAGACTCCGTCTCAAACAAACAAACAAACAAAAAACATAGTTTTCCAAGATGACTAATGTTTTGAGCCTGGTAGCTGGAAGAAACGAAGTCTTCTTTCTGATGTTTCTAATATATCAGTTTGAAAATATTTTAAGTTTTACATTTCATTCAGATATGATAGAGGGGATTTATACAGATAAGGATATCCTCATATCCTCCTCTTTTTTTTTTTTTTTTTTTTTGAGACGGAGTTTTGCTCTTGTTACCCAGCCTGGAGTGCAGTGGCACAATCTCGGCTCACTGCAACCTCTGCCTCCTGGGTTCAGGCAATTCTCCCGCCTCAGCCTCCTGAGTACCTGGCATTACAGGCACGCGCCACCAAGCCCAGCTAATTTTTTGTATTTTTAGTAGAGATGGGGTTTCACCATGTTGACCAGGATGGTCTCGATCTCTTGACCTCGTGATCCACCCGCCTTGGCCTCCCAAACTGCTGGGATTAGAGGCGTGAGCCACCGCACCGGGCCCCTCCTCTTTTTTAATAATACCATATCCTTTTTTAAGTGACTTGTTTGTAGTTTGATGTCTTTGCCTCTTTTCCTTTAAATAAGATTTTTTCTTTAAGTAATTATGTGATAGGAAATAACTGAAAAAACTTCAGCCTTTTCTTGGACTAATTTGGGAACATTAAAATGATTTCACATAGTGAAATTTGTTTAAAGACAAAAATAATGAACACTATAAAATCTACAAAATGCATTTTATTATATACGATTTTGAAAGTTGGGGCAAGGAAAACTTAGATCTAGGTTTAAGCAGGCTAGATGACATTGGCTAACATTTTTTGGTCAGTAGCATAATGACTTAGGCCAATTGATAATTTCACCACCCTTAAAATGGATGTCATTGAATATCTTACCATTTTTGTTAACTTCTTAAAATTTTTATTGCATGACTACATTTGTTTCAGTGTGATTATGTGGAAAGTCCTAACAGAATTGTAAAGAAATGAAAGCAGGATATAAGAAGTGTAATATTTGTTTCTTGCTTTTATCTTAGTACTATTAGAGTTAGTGTTTTTGATTATCATAGGAGAGTCCTTGTCAGCAAAAAATATGTTTATGAGCAAACAGTTGGTTTATGTGAAATTACAATTTTATAAATGTTCTGAGACAATAAAAATGTAAAATGGCAGTGTCCCGTTTTGTATCTTTTCCTGGAATACTTGCATGGACAACATTCAGAGACGTTGAGAGCAAGATAACTACTTTGTTAAACTGGTGACAATCTGACAGACTCTGCCTCATAAAAGAATTCCAGTGTCCAACAATCAGGTCTTCACTTCTCTCAACTAACCTTTCTTCTGACATCACAGGTGTGTAGCACCACTTGTTACAGTCTCTTTCCCACTCCCTGCTGCCCCTTCTATATTCTTTTCTTCACATTAATTTGTTTATTTGAGAACTTTGGATCACGGATCACTGAATTGAAGTGCTGCATATGTAGTGCTTACCTGCCATTTTATTTTTCCCTGGTGCGTCCTTTTTTTTTTTTTTTTTGAGATGGAGTTTCCCTGTTGTTACCCAGACTGGAGTGCAATGGTGTGATCTCAGCTCACCGCACCTTCCGCCTTCTGGGTTCAAGCAATTCTCCTGCCTCAACCTCCCAAGTAGCTAGGACTACAGGCACGTATCACCATGCCCAGCTAATTTTTGTATTTTTAGTAGAGACAGGGTTTCACCTTGTTGAACAGGATGGTCTCGATCTCTTGACCTTGTGATCCACCCGCCTCGGCCTCCCAAAGTGCTGGGATTATAGGCGTGAGCTGCCGTGCCCAGCCTTTTTTTTTTGAGATGTGGTTTCACCATGCCGGCCAGGCTGGTCTTGAACTCCTGACCTCAGGTGTTCCACCCACCTCAGCCTCCCAAAGTGCTAGGATTACATGTGTGAGCCACCGCGCCCGGCTTTTTTTTTTTTTTTTTAAGACAGAGTCTTGCTCTTGTCGCCCAGGCTGGAGTGCAATGGTGCGCTTTTGGCTTACTACAACTTCTGCCTAGTAGGTTCTAGTGATTCTCCTGCCTCAGCCTCCTGAGTAGCTGGGATCACAGGTGCCCACCACCATGTGCGGCTAATTTTGTATTTTTAGTAGAGACAGGGTTTTACCATGTTGTCCAGGCTGGTCTCAAACTCCTAACCTCAGGTTATCCACCCATCTCAGCCTCCCAAAGTGCTGGGATTATAGGTATGAGCCACCGTGCCCAGCCCTCTGGTGCATCTTGAGGTAGCTTGAGGACAATCCTAAATTGCCTGTTTTCCTTTACAGCGGAAGGAGACAGATTGCTGCCAACATGAGAAGTATTGGGATGATGCCCAATGATATTCCTGAGTGGAAGAAACATGCTTTTGGGGGCAACAAAGCCTCTTATGGGAAAAAGACCCAGATGTCAATCATTGAGCAGAGGGAGAGCCTGCCCATCTGCAAACTGAAGGAGCAGTTGATCCAGGTGAGAAGCCCTTTTATGATGTATTGGTGGGGAGTAGGGTTGTTTTCTAAAAGAGGGATGACATTTTAAAATTGAAACTAGCGGGACAAGTATGTGCCTACTTGAAGTGGCTCTTCCAAAAGGGATAAGAAAAAAGGGCCAGGCGCAATGGCTCACGCCTGTAATCCCAGCACTTTGGGAAGCTGAGGTGGGTGGATCACGAGGTCAAGAGATCGAGACCATCCTGGTCAACATGGTGAAACCCTATCTCTACTAAAATACAAAAAATTAGCTGGGCACAGTGGCGCATGCCTGTAATCCCAGCTACTCAGGAGGCTGAGGCAGGAGAATTGCCTGAACCCAGGAGGTGGAGGTTATGGTGAGCCAAGATCACACCATTGCACTCCAGCCTGGGTAACAAGAGCGAAACTCCGTCTCGATTTTTTTTTTTTAAGGTGGGTTTTCACCATGATGGCCAGGCTGGTCTTGAACTCCTGACCTCAGGCGATCCACCCACCTCAGCCTCCCAAAGTGCTAGGATTACAGGCATGAGCCACTGTGCCTGGCCAAAGGAGAAAACTTTCTAAATACTTTTTTTTTTTTTTTTTTTGAGATGGAGTTTCGCTGTTGTTACCCAGACTGGAGTGCAATGGCACGATCTCGGCTCACCGCAACCTCCGCCTTCTGGGTTCAAGCAATTCTCCGGCCTCAGTCTCCCGAGTAGCTGGGACTACAGGCGCACACCACCATGCCCAGCTAATTTTTTTATTTTTAGTAGAGACGGGGTTTCACCTTGTTGACCAGGATGGTCTCGATCTTTTGACCTCGTGATCCACCCGCCTCGGCCTCCCAAAGTGCTGGGATTATAGATAGGCATGAGCCACGGCGCCTGGCCTCTAAATACTTTTTTAAATAATGGGGGCAGGGATGTTAGCTCATACCTGTGATCCTAGCACATCAGGAGGCCAAGGCAGGAGGATCACTTGAGCCTGGGAGTTTGAAACTAGGCTGGGCAACAGAGGGAGACCTCGTCTCTACAAAAAATAAAAAATTTACCTGTGTATGGTGGTCCTTGCCTGTAGTTCCAGCTACTCAGGAGGCTGAAATAAGAGGACTGCTTGAGCCTGAGAGGTCAGGGCTGCAATGAACTGCAGTCACACCACTGCCCTCCATTCTGGGTGACAGAGTGAGACTCTGTATCAAAAATGTGTTTGTGTACAGACACACATACATATGTATATGTCCATATATTTTCTTTTTCCTGGGGATCATAGAACAGTTCCAGGTGGGTAGAGTATTGTGTTGCATAGACCAACAGCTCTGGTCAGTAATTAAAAATGAGGAAGGCAGGGCATGGTGGTTCACGCCTATAACCTCAGCACTTTGGGAGGCCAAGGCGGGCGGATCACCAGAGGTCAGGAGTTGGAGACCAGCCTGACCAACAGGAAGAAACCCTGTCTCTACTAAAAATACAAAAAAATTAGCAAGGTGTGGTGGTGCATTCCTGTAATCCCAGCTACTTGGGAGGGTGAGGTAGGAGAATTGCTTGAACCCGGGAGGTGGAGGTTGCGGTGAGCCAACATCACACCATTGCACTCCAGCCTGGGCAGCAAGAGCAAAACTCCGTCTCAAAAAAAAAAAAAAGAAAAAAAATGAGGATACTCAGCCAATAAAACTCATCTGGGCAAGGGCCATGCTTCAGTAGTTCACATTCTGGAATTCACATTTTAAGACCACTGAGCCTTCCTTGAGGTAATCAGGTTTACTAGTTTCCAGTGAATCCTTTCAACAGTATCTTTTATGTATACAAGCAAGTACAGATAAAGGCACACATATTTTATATTCGTACTTTATGTGTTTATAGTTGGCAGTGATATTATATACACTGTCTTACATCTTGCTTTTTCCACTTAATGATATATCTCAGAGATGTGTGGGGGGTGTGTGTGTGTGTGTGTGTGTGTGACAGCATTTTGCTTTGTGCATGCTAGAATACAGTGGCGTGATCTCAGCTCAGTGCAACCTCTATCTCCTGGGCTCAGATGATCTTCCCACCTCAGCCTCCCAAGTAGCTGGGACTGCAAGGTGTGTACCGTCATGCTCAGCTAGTTTTTTGTATTTTGTAGAGATGAGGTCTCACTACATTGTCCAGGCTAGTCTTGAACTCCTGGACTTACGCAGTTCTCCTTCCTCAGCCTCCCAAAGAGCTAGGATTACAGGCATGAGCCATGGCACCTGGCCTTTTTTAAAAAAATTATTGCCAGGCCAGGCGTGGTGGTTCACCCCTGTAATCCCAGCACTTTGGGAGGCCGAGGCAGGCAGATCACCTGAGGTCAGGAGTTTGAGACCAGCCTGTCCAACATGGTAGAACCCCATCTCTACTAAAAATACAAAAATTAGCCAGGCATACTGGTGGGCACCTGCAATCCCAGCTACTTGGGAGGCTGAGGCAGGAGAATTGCTTGAACTCGAGAGGTGGAGGTCATAGTGAGCTGAGATCATGCCACTGCACTCCAGCCTGGGTGACAGAATGAGACTTCATCTCAAAAAGAAAAAAAACAAAAGCTTTTTTTATGTGCCTTGTTATTTGGATCAGCTCTGGTTTATTTAGCTAGTCCTGTATCCATAGAAATATAGTTGATTGTAATCCTTGGCTGTTACAAACAATATAGAAATAAGAAATAACTTTTGAGGAAAGATACTAGAAATTTGGGAGTTACAGTGGGAAGGAACACTTTTTATGTTTTCTAAATTTATTGCTGACTTCTTTAACCATATGTGTATGTCCCCCTTTTAGAATATAGTATATAGTCATTCATTATTTTATTCCAAAGTAGCATGTGGCAAATTTTAATGACCATATTTATATTCTGTTGCTTTAGGCCGTCCATGACAATCAGATCCTGATAGTTATTGGTGAGACAGGATCTGGAAAGACAACACAGATCACCCAGTACCTGGCGGAGGCAGGCTACACTTCCAGGGGCAAGATTGGGTGTACCCAGCCCAGAAGAATGGCAGCAATGTCAGTGGCCAAAAGGGTTTGGTTGTTGCTTAGGCCCAGAGGTAAGTAGATAGTGAAGTCACTCTAAAAATACCAGAAGCAAAGGCCCAGATCGCCTAACCTATCAAATGGAAATAATGAATAATACTGCCTTTTCTCAGGTTTCTCCTGAGGAAGAGAGAGTTCCCATTGTCATAATCAGTCTGTTCAGGGTATGGTCTAAGCCATACCTTACTATGAGGAAATTACTGTACATCTTGATCAAATTCTTGAGATTATGAGTAACAGTGACTGCGCTGAAATGTTGCCTGGTGATTGGGAAAAGGAGACATTTGTATCCTAGGTTTTCCCCTTCCTTTCTGCTTTAGGTGAGCTACACCATTCGATTTGAGGACTGCACTAGCCCTGAAACAGTCATCAAGTACATGACAGATGGAATGTTGCTTAGGGAGTGCTTGATTGACCCTGACCTCACTCAGTATGCAATCATCATGTTGGACGAGGTGCATGAGAGGACAGTTGACACTGATGTGCTCTTTGGATTGTTGAAAAAGGTAACTAGATGGTCTTTAATGACCCTTCTACCTGTTGGAAACCAAATTCTGGGAGTTGGATTTGAGTACCTGTCTTTTTGGGTAGTCCTTTTCAGTAAGCCACATTATATTTCTATTTAGACAGTTCAGAAATGGCAGGACATGAAGCTGATTGTCACCTCAGCCACGTTGGATGCAGTGAAGTTTTCTCAATACTTCTATGAAGCTCCCATTTTCGCCATCCCAGGTCGAACATATCCAGTGGAAATACTGTACACAAAGGAACCTGAGACAGATTATCTGGATGTCAGCCTGATTACTGTTATGCAGATCTATTTAACAGAGCCACCAGGTAAAAAAAAAGAAATATTTTTCCTCTTAGGCCAAGAGTCCTCATATGATTTTTTCTTTTTTTTTTTTGCTAATCTTTTTAGAAACACCTTCTAAATATTCATCTCTCTGCAAGCCTCAGGCTTGTATGTTTTAATGACCATATTTATATTCTGAAATGGTGGTGGTAGCGAGGCGCAGTGGCTCACGCCTGTAATCCAAGCACTTTGGGAGGCCGAGGCAGGTAGATCACAAGGTCAGGAGATTGAGACCATCCTGCCCAACATGGTGCAACCCCATCTCTACTTAAAATACAAAAATTAGCCAGATATGATGGCAGGTGCCTATAGTCTCAGCTACTCTGGAGGCTGAGGAAGGAGAATCACTTGAACTCAGGAGGTGGAAGTTGCAATGAGCCAAGATCGCACCACTGCGTTCCAGCCTGAGTGACACAGGGAGACTCCATCATACACACACAAAATACAATTGGTGGTGGTTAAAATGTCATATTGTCATATAAACAAACTTCTACTGTTTACTTACTGGTCAGAATATGAATGTATATTTTCTGTTATTTGAAGTTTTATTAATATCACCATAGCCTTTGTGTGGAACACACACAGTTAGAAGGTAAATTAATGCTTTATTCTCCTCGTAGGTAATATCCTGGTCTTCCTGACTGGTCAGGAAGAGATTGATACTGCTTGCGAGATCCTGTATGAAAGAATGAAATCCCTGGGACCTGATGTTCCGGAGTTAATTATCCTCCCAGTGTACTCTGCTCTTCCCAGTGAGATGCAGACCCGAATCTTTGACCCAGCTCCACCAGGCAACAGAAAGGTAATACAGGCAAAAGGAAGCTCCCATGTACCCTGATCGTGTGTTCTGTGCAGCTTGTCATAGTAGGGATTGCTTAGGGTGTATGCAAGTCTTGTTTGTTAGGTTTCAGAGACTGGTCCAACCAATTTGTTTAGGAATGAGGGTCTAGTATGTGACCTCTGCTCTTATTCCTCATCTCCTTCATTTGACAAATATTTTTTGAGCATCTACCAGACTTTGGGCTACATATGGGAGACGCATTATGAGAACAAGCCTCTATCTGCTGTGGGGCGTCCCCAGTCAACAGACTTTCAGCATGTACTGTGAAAAGGCCACTCATGTGTGGTGGATACCCAGGTGGGAGCACCCGATCCTGTCTTCTTAGGGGAAATAAGGATCTAAGCTAGTCCTGGAGAGCTCACAAAAGGCAAGGGGACAAGCTTTCTGAGGGCACAGAACTGTCTGTGATGGCCTGGAGGCAAGGAAGTGGGGCCAGTTCAGAGAATGGTATAGTTCCGGTGGCTGGAACCAAGTATATGACTGTGTGTATGAGACAACAGGAAAGAAGACAGATGGATGTAGGTATATTTTTAATAACAGCTTTATTGAGATATAATTTACATACCTTTCAATTAACTCCCCCACCTCCAGCTTTTTTTTTTTTTTTTTTTTGAGACGAGATCTCTGTCACCTAGTCTGGAGTACAGAGGTATGATCTTGGCTCACTGCAACCTTTGCCTCTAAGGCTCAAGTGATCCTCCTGCCTCAGCCTCCTAAGCATGTGGGACTACAGGCATGTGCCACTATTCCTGGCTAATTTTTGTATTTTTTTTGTAGAAACACGGTTTCGCTCCATTGCCCAGATTGGAATTTACCCTTTTAAAGTGTACAATTCAACGGCTTTTAGTATACAGTTACTCCATAGTATGTGGGGGTTGGTTCCAGGACCCCCAAGGATACCAAAATCCAATTATGCTCGAGTCTCTTATATAAAATGCTGTAGCAGTTGCATGTAACCTATGCACATCTTCCTGTATGATGCTTTAAACCATCTCTAGATTACCTATAATACCTCATACGGTGTAAATGCTATATAAGTAGCTGTTTTACTGTATTTTTAATTTGTATTATTTTTTATTGTATTTCTTTTCCCCAGATATTTTTAATCTGCTATTGGTTGAATCCACAGATGGGGAGGCAGCAGATGCAGAGGGCTAACTGTATTCACAGAACTGTGCAGCCAGCACCACAGTTGTGTTTAGAACAATTTTATCTCCCTAAAAAGAAATCCTGTACCCTTTAGCAGTCACCTCCTACCCCCATTTACTCCTCTGCTCAGCCATTGGAAACCACTGATCTATACTTTCTGTCTCTGTAGATTTGCCTATTCTAGACATTTCATACAAATGAAAGCATATATTTGTGGCTGGCTTATTTCCAGTGAGTTTTCCAGACTTAGAGTTTATCAACATTGTAGTAGGTATCAATACTTCATTTCTTTTTATTGCTCAATACTCTTCTGTTGTATGGGCACAAAACATTTTGTTTATCCATTTATCAGTTGATGGACGTTGGAGCTGGGCTCAGTGGCTCATGCCTGTAATTTCAGCAGTAAGAGAGGCTGAGGCAGGTGGATCACCTGAGGTCAGGAGTTCAAGACCAGCCTGGCCAACATGGTGAAACCCTGTCTCTACTGAAAATACAAAAATTAGCCAGATGTGGTGATGGACGCCTATAATCCCAGCTGTGTGGGAGGCTGAGGCAGGAGAATACCCTGAATCCAGGAGGCAGAGGTTGCAGTGAGCTGAGATTGCACTCACTCCAGCCTGGGCAACAAACAAAACTATCTCAAAAAAAAGAAAGAAAGAGATAGACATGGGAGTTGTTTCCACTTTGGGGCTATCATGAACAGTGCTGCTGTGAACATTTATTTACAATTTTTTGTGTGAACCAGTTGCAGTGACTCATGCCTGTGATACCAGAATTTTTTTTTTTTTTTTTTTGAAACAGAGTCTTGCAGTGGTGCAATCTCAGCTCACTGCAACCTCTGTCTCCCGGATTCAAGTGATTCTTCTTGCCTCAGCCTCCTGAGTAGCTGGGATTACAGGCATGTGCCACAATGCCTGGCTGATTTTTTTTTTTTTTTTTTTTTTAAGTAGAGAGGGGGTTTTGCCATGTTGGCCTGGCTGGTCTCGAACTCATGACCTCAGGTAATCCACCTGCTTCTGCCTCCTAAAGTGCTAGGATCATAGGTGTGAACCACCACACCCAGCCATTCCCAGCATTTTTAGAAGCCAAGGTGGGATGATCCCTTGAGCCCAGAAGTTTAAGACCAGCCTGGGCAATATGGTTAAGACCCCTATCTCTACAAAAAATAAAAAATTAACCAGGCATGGTGGCATGTGCTTATACTCAAGAGGCTGAGGTGGGAGGATCACTTGAGCCCAGGAGGGTGAAGGTGCTGTGAGCCGTGGTTATACCACTGTGCTCCAGCTAGGGATACAGAGCAAACCAGACCCTGTCTCAGAAAACCAAGTTTTTGTGTGGACATATGTTTTCATTTCTCTTAGGCATATTCCTAAGAGTATAAGGCAGATGGACTTGGCCGGTGCAGTGGCTCACACCTGTAATCTCAGTACTTTCAGAGGCTGAGGCAGGCGGATCACAAGGTCAGGAGTTCAAGACTGGCCTGGCCAACATAGTGAAACTCTGTCTCTACTAAAATTACAAAAATTAGCTGGGCATGGTGGCATATGCTTGTAGACCCAGCTACTGGGGAGTCTGAGGCAGGAGAATTGCTTGAACCTGGGAGGCAGAGGTTGCAGTGAGCCGAGATCATGCCATTGTACTTCACCCTGGGCAACAATAGCAAAACTCCATCTCAAAAACAAGTTAAAATGGACGAGACTTGGTGGGTATTAGCAGGTAAAGGGGAGAAGGGTGAGGGAAGTCAGGCATGACTCAGGTTTCTGGCTTGGGCAGCTGGATCAAAGATGGTGCTGAGGAGGGAAACATGGGAGGACAATCAGGCTTGAGTGGAAAGATGGTGACTTTCTCCCTATTTTGTTACTAATAGTTGGAGTTCTTTTTTTTTTTTTTGAGACTGAGTTTCGCTCTTGTTACCCAGGCTGGAGTGCAATGGCGCGATCTCAGCTCACCACAACCTCTGTTCCTGGGTTCAAACAATTCTCCTGCCTCAGCCTCCCGAGTAACTGGGACTACAGGCATGTACCACCATGCCCAGCTAATTTTTGTATTTTTAGTAGAGACGGGGTTTCACCATGTTGACCAGGATGGTCTCGATCTCTTGACTTTGTGATCAACCCGTCTCGGCCTCCCAAAGTGCTGGGATTATAGGCGTGTGCCACTGCACCCGGTGAGTTGGAGTTCTTTCTAAGCAGTGCTTCTGTAGTTCTGTAGCAGGTAGAAGCCTTTCAGGGCCACTAAGATGCTGGCATGATGCGTGTTATTCCAGTGCCTCCTAGTGATGATTTTTCCGAGCAATTGTGTTTTATTAGCTGAACCTCTGGGTGGAAGAACAGTGACAGTGTCAAGCTGAGACTAATAATCCTCCAGATCACATAGACGGCTACACACACACACAGACTGTGAAATTCCTGTGTCATCTCATGGTTCATTTTATGATCAGTTAAAAAAAGCAGTCTCCCTCTTGTTGTAATAATCAACATTGGATCTAGAAAATGAGATATACAGTAGCTATTTGTACCAAATGAAATTGGCTTTGATTGGCCTTAGCTTTTTCCCGTACCTCTCAGGTACCATCCCTTTTCCAACTTAACCCTTCAGCTCAAGGTACCTCCCTGCTGCCCGTTGGAGACTGAGCTGGGATTAAGTGTCATTTTGACCATCCACAGAGGGAAATAGTCACATATTCCTTTGGGAAGATGTGTTCAGAAGAACCATTTCATACCTCAGGGCTGAGCTAGGCAGCTCACTGCAGCTTTGCCTCTCTTGCCTGCAGGTTGTGATTGCCACCAATATCGCAGAGACATTGCTGACTATTGATCTACTACATGGTGGACCCAGGATTCATGAAGCAGAAAGTTTATAATTCCAAGACAGGGATTGACCAGCTTGTGGTGACGCCTATTTCTCAGGTATGGCAGCTTGTATCAACAGTTTTCCTAATAATCCTGGTTAGGGCCTTTCTGAAATTTTTTATGGTTATATATTTCAAACTTTGTTGTTTTCAAAGATGAACTTTTTTTTTTTTTTTTGAGACGGAGTTTCACTCTTGTTACCCAGGCTGGAGTGCAATGGCACGATCTTGGCTCACCGCAACCTTCGGTTCCTGGGTTCAGGCAATTCTCCTGCCTCAGCCTCCTGAGTAGGTGGGATTACAGGCATGCGCTACCATGCCCAGCTAATTTTTTGTATTTTTAATAGAGATGGGGTTTCACCATGTTGACCAGGATGGTCTCGATCTCTTGACCTCATGATCCACCCGCCTCGGCCTCCCAAAGTGCTGGGATAACATGTGCCACTGCGCCCGGCCAAAAATTAACTTTTATGATACTGGGTACTATAATGGCACAAGGGAAGGGTTTTTGTTCTTTGTTTTTGATCTTTTTTTACCTCCAAGTCTGACTGATCCTTGAAGTTTTTAATCTTTAGAATAGTATTTCACCATTAAAATGCCCCCATGAGGCCAGACAACACCGTGGCTCACACCCATAATCCCAGCACTTTGAAATGCTGAAATGGGAGGATTGCTTGAACCCAAGAGTTCTAGACTAGCCTGGGAAACATAGCAAGATCCTGCCACCACAAAAAAATAAAAACAAATTAGCCTGGCATGGTGGCATGTGACTGCAGTCCCAGCTGGTTAAGAGTCTAAGGTGGGAGGATCACTTGAGCCCAGGAGTCCGAGGCTGCAGGGAGCTAGGATAGCACCACTGCACTCCAGCTGGGGCGACAGAGCAAGGCCCTGTCTCTAAAATAATTTCCTGCTTAGGCAGGAAATTACATTTAAAAATGAATTACCCGATCACTTTTCTGAGAGAAGTTTGGCAACAGTATATCCAAAATTTAAAGGTTCATCTCTTTAACCTAACTGTTCTGCTTCTAGGAATCTATCTCAAAGTTAGAAATTATTAAATACATGTCCAAAGGTAATGGAAAAGGATGTTCATTGAAGCATTGTTTATATCAGGGGAAACCTGGAAAAAATTCTAAATATATTCCAAAAGGGAAATAGTTTAATAAATTATGGTATCGTCCTGCCATAGAACATTGGTGGCATTAACATGGTGGCATGTATCTATCTTTAATGACATAAGCATGTAACTGTAATATTTTATTTGAAAAAGTGAGCCTACAAAACAGCATGAATGGTATAATTCAATTTTTGTTTAAAAATAGATGTTGTTTCAACCTTAGACTTCTCAGAAAAAAGAAAAAGATGGTGTGCATTTCTGCAGTGTGTGTGTGAGTGAGGTGTGCCCAAGATTGAAAGCATGTAGTCTAAATGTTAGCCAAGATGATTTCTGGGTGGTGCTGCTAGGTGAAGTGCATTTTCTTTTATACTTTTTATTTATTTATTTAAGACGGGGTTTCACCATATTGGTCAGGCTGGTTTCAAACTCTGAACCTCAGGTGATCTGCCCGCCTCGGCCTCCCAAAGTGCTGGGATTACAGGCGTGAGCCACCGCGCTTGGCTTCTTTTATACTTTCATGTAGTCTTTCACAAAGGGTATGTATTACTTTCATAATTTGTAAAAGCCATAAGGCTATTTTTATTTCGAAACTTAAGTAATAATCATAGCTACCACTTACGGGGTACTTACCAAGTACCAGGTACTGTCCTAGATACGCGCATTGACTCAGTGCATTCTCGCATTGATCCTGTGTGGTACATATTTTCACAGATGAGGAGCCTGAGCCACAGAGGGGTTAGGTCACTTGCCTAACATCACAGAGCTTAGAGCCAAGATTTGAACCTGGGTAACCTGACTCCAGCTTGTGTGCTGTATACCACTTGTCAGGGTGGTGGCCATCAAAAAAATCAGTTACGCATGCCTTTCCTGATCTGGAGAGAGGCATCTATAGAATGCTGTGGAGTCCAGCCACTGTGCATGATTGCTGCCTGGATCTGTGTGCTTAGTTGTCCTTCACACTCCATCCTTTGGTTTGGAGCTGGCATAGTAATTTGTAAATCCTGGTACTGTTTGTAACAACAGATGGTTTTGTCGGAAAATGGCCCTCTTCAGATTGCTATTCATTGTTTCCTAGCAACCTATAGCTAAACTACATTTAAAAAAAATTTTTTTTAATCCAGCGTTTTCTTCTCCCAGTACAGAAGTACATTATTTTTGAAAGATAGAAGAAAAAAAATTTAATTACCCATCATCCTACTGTGTCCACTGTTGTCATTTTGCTGTTTTTTTTCCAGTCTTTTTTTATGTTTATTTCTTTCATGGTTACAATTTTAGTAGTCAAATAAGTAGTCGGTTTTGTTTTGTTTTGTTTGAGTATTTAATTTTCCTACTGGAATAATACGTGTTCAATATTTGGTAAAGTCTAAAGAAAATAGACCTCATCTGCAAATCTATCAGAGTTGGCCACTGTTCACATTTTAGGTTTTTTTCCCTTAGTCATTTCCTTCTAGTAGTTGATATATAAAGACTTTTTACAAAATTAACATTATATTGTTTTGTAACTTGCATTTTGCATTTAATGTGAGTGAACATTTTCTTCTGTTACTTAACATTGCAAACATGATTTTTATTTTTATTTTTTATTTTTTTAGAGTCAGGGTCAGTCTCTGTTGTTGCCAGGCATGATCACAGCTCACTGCAGCCAGCCTCAACCCCCCCAGGCTCAGGTGGTCCTCCCATCTGAGCCTCCTGAATAGCTGGGACTACAGGCATGAGCCACCACACTAAGCTAATTTTTGTATTTTTTGTAGAGATGGAGTTTCAGCATGTTGCCCTGGCTGGTCCTGGGCTCAGGTGATCTCCCGCCTTGGCCTCCCAAAGTGCTGAGATTATAGGTATGAGTCACCACTCCTGGCCTGCAAACATAATTTTTAAAATGACTGTAACATCATTTGTATGATTGACATAATTTATTTATTTCACTTACATTTTTGGTCATAACTGTGGGGATGTGTTCTGTCATCTTGTTTTATGCTTTCTCTCTTTTTTTTTTTTTTTTTTTTTTTTGAGACGGATTCTCGCTTAGAGTGCAGTGGTGCAATCTTGGCTCACTGCAACCTCTGCCTTCTGGGTTCAAATTATTCTCCTGCCTCAGCCTCCTGAGTAGTTGGGATTACAAGCACATGCCACCATGCCTGGCTGATTTTTGTATTTTTAGTAGAGACAGGGTTTCACCGTGTTGGTCAGGCTGGTCTTGAACTCCTGACCTCATGATCTGTCCGCCTTGGCTTCCCAAAGTGTTGAGATTACAGGAGTGAGCCACTGCACCCAGCTGCTTTCTCTTTTATATTGTGCCATACTATTTTGAAAATACATGTCTGAGATCCGTATAATATTTCTTTCATTATATAACCCTGCTTATATTGCCTCCCTTGAACAAACTTCCCTGAAGTGCTGAGTATGGAGAGGGAAAGATAAGAGCATTGGAGTCTTGGAAATGGTCCCAAAGGAAGGGAAATCAACCCCATTTCTGATTTTGCCAGTTGCTAATTATCCCCCTTTTAACAGAGATTCTGGGTAAAGCTGTTAAGCAGCATTTAACAGATATGTTGCTTTTATATGCCTCTAGGCTCAGGCAAAGCAACGAGCTGGCAGAGCTAGGAGAACAGGCCCAGGGAAGTGTTACAGACTATATACAGAACGTGCCTACTGAGATGAAATGCTCACCACCAACGTGCTGGAAATCCAGAGAACCAACTTAGCAAGCACGGTGCTGTCACTCAAGGTAGAAATCACTGGTTAGAATGGGTTGGTGGAAGAGTCCAATCCTGGCCTTTGTAAATGAATCTCAGTTTTATGAAGCTTGTTAAATACTTTAGTAACCTCACGGAACCAGTCCCTTTGAGTGAAATGCAAATTGCTGTGATAACCGCCTCTCAGGGCAGGTCTGGGGCTAAGTTGGCATGTCTGCTGTGAACATACATTTTTTCTTACCATAACAACTAGCAGGATATTAGGTTGTAAAAGGTTGTAGTTAGGAGCATTTTCTAAAAGGAAATTAGAAAAATATAATCAATGCCAAACTGTGGACAAACACACTTAACCTCAACCACTTTAGTGTTCAGATCCAATTCTGTTCCTTTAGAACAGAGAAAAAACTCCCTCTTCCAAAACTTTGCAAGGGAACTGTCAGCACAGATTTCAGACTGGCTCTCAGGGGCTTGGTTTTCATTCTGAATCATGGTTCTTCCTCTCTCAGTCCCCAGTGAGGACTTCATTCTCTTTTGGCAGGAGGAGCTGTATGAGTAATTTCCCAGCTGATGGCATTTCCCCTGACACTGATGCTACCCTGGAGCCCTGGCACTTTCTGGTGCAGAGTGCTCTATTGTCGTTTATTATTTATTCCCTGTAAGATAGGCTAATACAGAGCTTCAGAAAGAAAAAAGAAACCTGCTCCAGTCTCTGGAGCGCCAACAGAGAGGCATCTGTGGCTCAGACTTCAGCTCCAAACTGCGTGACTTTGGGCAAATTTATTTACTTTGCCCTCTGCTCTGTGTTCTCCTCTGAAAAGGGGGCTGTTAATATTATTTGTTGGAGGCTGGGTGCAGTGGCTCACGCCTGTAACCAGCCCTTTGGGAGGCTGGTTACAGCCAAGATAGGCAGATCACCTGAGGTTGGGACTTTGAGACCACCCTGAGCAACATGAAGAAACCCCATCTCTACTAAAAATACAACATTAGATGGACTTAGTGGTGCATGCTTATAATCCCAACTACTTGGGAGGCTGAGGCAGGAGAATCGCTTGAATCCAGGAGGCGGAGGTTGTGGTGAGCTGAGACCATGCCACTCTACTCCAGCCTGGGCAACAAGAGTGAAACTCTCTCTCAAAAAAAAAAAAGTATTTGTAGGAAAGATAAGTGAGATAATGTAGGTGAAGATACTTGGCACAGTGCCTAGCTTGATGATTGCTAACATAATTCCTCGTAGTTACTATTCACACAATAAACATGTATTGAACACCTGCTGTGTTTATGGTCAACATCACTTTATGAGAAAGGAATAGAAAGCTTAGGTCCTACCACATCACACTTTATACACACTTGAATCATCATCATTCAGTCGTTTCTTTTATTCATCAAATTAGCTAATAAATGTATTAAACACCTGCTACATGCCAGGCATGTAGATTGCACTGTGTTGTGGTTTTGTGAACATAGTTCTCACTCAGTGTGAACTCTCTGAAAGCAGAGGCCATATCTTGGCCATCTTTATATCCCTCCCACCTAGCATGGTACAAGGTCCCTCATAGATGTATAGTAGAAATGAGGTATGCAAGAGACAGGACAAGCTGGTAGACTATTTTGTTATTATTATTGTAAAATGCATAACAAAATTTATGATTGTAACCTTTTTAAAGTGTACAATTCAGTGGCATTAAATACATTCACGATGTTGTGCAACCATCACCAACATCCATTTCCAGAACTTTTTCATTGTCCCAAACAGAAACTCTGTACTCCTTAAACAGTAGCTCCCCTTTACCCCCTCTCTCTATCCCTTGGTAACTACTACTCTACTTTCTACCTCTGTGAATTTGTCTATTCTAGATAACTTCATTTAAGTGGAATCATACAGTATTCTTTTGTATCTGGCTTGTTTCACTTAGAATAATGTTTTCCAGATTTATTCATGTTGTTTTCAAGGTTTATTTGTTTCTTTCATTCCTTTCTAAGGGTGACTAGTATTCTGTTGTATGTATATACCACATTTTGTTTATCCATTCATCAGCAGAAACATTTGGATTGTTTCTACCTTTTGGCTATTATCAATAATGCTGAGTCTGCTTTCAGTTCTTTTTTCTTTTTCTTTTTTTCAAGAAGGAGGCTTGCTCTGTTGCCAGGCTGGAGTGCAATGGTGGAATCTCGGCTTACTGCAACCTCTGCCTCCTGGGTTCAAGCAATTCTCCTGCCTCATCCTCCCGAGTAGCTGGGACTACAGGCATGTGCCACCATACCTGGCTAATTTTTGTATGTTTAGTAGACATGGGGTGTCACCATATTGGTCAGGCTGGTCTCGAACTCCTGACCTCGTGATCTGCCCCGCCCCCCAGCCTCCCAAAGTGCTGGGATTACAGACATGAGCCACCGTGCCCGGCCAAGACCAGCCCAGCCAACATGATAAAACCCTATCACTACTGAAAATATGAAAATTAGCTGGACATGATGTCAGGCGCCTGTTATCCCAGCTAGTCGGGATGCTGAGGCAGGAGAAATACTTGAACTCGGGGGGCTGCGTTGAGCTGAGATTGGGCCACTGTACTCCAGCATGGGTGACAGAGTGAGACTCTGTCTCAGGTATGTGCTTTCTATTATAGTAGTCTGAGTTTTATGTGGCCCAGCCCTGGAAGTTACACCGATCTCACTGGTGGCTTCCTATTTGCAACTGAAGAAATGGGAAATAAAGTAACAAATAGCTTCCCCACGTGCTAACACTGGCTAGACTGACCCTCTTATCACCTGCCTTCTTCCTTTCTGTTCTAGGCCATGGGTACCAATGACCTGCTGTCCTTTGATTTCATGGATGCCCCACCAATGGAAACTTTGATCACTGCCATGGAGCAGCTGTATACACTGGGGGCCCTGGACGATGAGGGCCTGCTCACTCGCTTGGGCCGCCGGGTAGGGGATAGACTTAACTTTCTGTGCTTTTGGGAAGATTCCCTGGTCAGCCTTCCACATCCTTTGGTCTGTACAAAATCAAGAGTTGAGACCGTGGATAAGTTTTGAGTAGAATTATCAATGCTTGTTTTTAACCTGAATTTCTCCACTATCACTTTAAACTGTTTTGTCTTTATAGAAAAAAGGTGTTCACAGTTAATTTTGCCTCAGGATATATTAGTGAGTCTAGCTTTACTTAGAAAAGGCATCTGCAAAATTCTCACCTGCCCTCACAGTAGTTATGTGCTTGGTCACATACATCCCATTGGATTTTATTTGGGAAAAGAATAAGCAACAGCATTCTTCTGATAGAGAAAGGCATCCCACGGCATCATTATGCTTTGGGAAAATCTGTGTTGTTACCCTTTCTGACCAAGGTCTTGCTATGGTGAATCCAAAAGTGTCTTCCACAGGGAAGTAGTTGTCGTTTTTCTTTCTCCCTCTAGATGGCAGAGTTTCCTCTGGAGCCAATGCTATGCAAAATGCTCATCATGTCTGTGCATCTGGGCTGCAGTGAGGAAATGCTGACCGTTGTATCCATGCTGTCTGTGCAGAACGTCTTCTATAGGCCCAAGGTAGGAAGTTCACATCCGGGTTTAGATGGGGTGCTGTGAAGGGGTAGTTGGCCTGTTGCCATTCCAATGCTGATGTGGAAATTTTTTTTTTTTTTTTTGAGCTGGAGTCTCACTCTGTCCCCAGGCTGGAGTGCAGTGGCACAGTCTTGCAGTCTCCGCCTTCCGGGTTCAAGCAATTTTCCTGCCTCAACCTCCGGAGCAGCTGGGATTACAGGCGTGCACCACCATGCCCTGCTAATTTTTGTATTTTTAGTAGAGATGGGGTTGCACCATGTTGGCCAGGCTAGTCTCAAACTCCTGGCCTCACATGATCCTCTTGCCTCAGCCTCCCAAAATTCTAGGATTACAGGCCTGAGCCATCATGCCTGGCCTGATGTGGACACTTTTGATAGGGCCTTGTAGGGCTCCCTAGAATTGCTCCATGTTCAGTTAGTAGCTGTTGAGTCGGAAGTGATCCTCTGTCCCACTGCTTGGCAGGATAAACAAGCCCTTGCAGATCAGAAGAAGGCCAAATTCCACCAGACCGAAGGGGACCACCTCACCCTGCTAGCTGTGTACAACTCCTGGAAGAATAACAAGTTCTCCAACCCATGGTGCTATGAGAACTTTATCCAGGCTCGTTCCCTGCGCCGGGCCCAGGACATTCGCAAGCAGATGTTAGGCATAATGGACAGGTAAGCCGGAATCTGATGACTCCCCATGTTTGAGTTGAACCACCTTGAGTATCATGTCTGTTCATCCTGTATGTACCTATAAAGCTATAGGCACCTTTTCTCTTGCTCCTCACATAACCCTCTTCCTCCAGCTTTTCCATCTTTGTTATATTCCTTCTGCCCAAGCCAGGGTATGGCTGAGAATTACCTCAGAAAGTTCCTAAGAGGAAGATTATTTGTCAGTTGTTGAAGAAATGCTCTTTGTTTACAAGCCTCTGGAACATTACCACTCTGGAATTGAATTCCTGTCTAAACAAAGTGTCTGCCTCTGAGTGCCTCCGTCTGCCCACTGTGTAGAGCTGCCTCTGTAGGACACTTAGGGCTGGAAGGAAGGTCCTGGTGACTACTCTGGGTACCCCAAGGTGGGGGTGTTGGGCACTGCCATTGTGGAAAATAAAACCTCTGAAAGCAGAGTGGGGTCACATCTTTTGTCCTATCTTGATAGACACAAGCTGGATGTTGTTTCCTGTGGCAAGTCCACAGTCCGAGTACAGAAGGCCATCTGCAGTGGGTTCTTCTGTAATGCCGCCAAGAAAGACCCGCAGGAGGTTACCCAGACGCTGATCAACCAGCAGGTGGTCTACATCCATCCTTCCAGTGCCCTCTTCAACAGACAGCCAGAATGGTAGGTGGATGGATCGCAGGGTCTAGGGACAGAAAACCTGTAAATCTGGCATTTTGCGACTGCATCTTCCCTACTCCTAGTACTTCCTGTTATAACATTGCTTGCATTTCTTCAGCAGCAGAAACCTGAGTTAGGCACAATGTATCAAACACTATGCCAGAATGAAAATCACAGGGGTGAGAGTTGAAAAAAAATCTGTGGTTTAAAAAACTACCTAGAGGTGTAGCTTTAAAGTAATATTTTTTTAAAAAAAAGGACTCTTTCTCTAGAACCCTAATATGAAACTGATTCAAAACCACCATGTTATCACAGGAGAAGGGTTAGAAATGCAGCGTCTTGCCTCTTTGGCCTTCCCCATCCCTTGTGGCAGTGTGTGAAACCACTCTTCAGGGCCCTAGAATTCTGTGGAAACATTCTAATAAACCACCCCATGGAGCAAGAAGCAGATTAGAGAAAGGATGTGACTGGCTCCACGTCACTTAACTAGTTAGAGCCAGAGCCAGGACTAGAACACATTCTCCTGAGACCTTTCTTGTGTTTAGAGGTGTGCGGGTGCTTCAGTATCAGGGTGTGGCTATCATAAACAGTCTGCAGTCTTGTAGGGGTCAGGCGTGAGAGGTAAGAGGATAAAATGTAAGCTCAGCTGAGGCCTGCTAGGGATCAGGTTGACTGTAGAGCGGGACCTGCATCCAGAGGCTTGAGTTCTATTTCTGTCCCCCCATAGGGTCGTATACCATGAGCTGGTGCTGACCACCAAGGAATACATGCGTGAGGTTACCACCATCGACCTGCGGTGGCTTGTGGAGTTTGCCCTGGCCTTCTTCAAGGTCTCTGACCCAACTAAGCTAAGCAAACAGAAGAAGCAGCAGCGTCTGGAACCCTTGTACAACCGCTATGAGGAACCCAATGCCTGGAGAATATCCCGGGCCTTCCGACGGCGCTGAAAGGCAAGCGTTTTCATTTGCCTCTCCAGCAGCAGTAGCCTGGGGCTCGCACTTATTCTCATTGATGACAGGCTGGTCCTGAGGATACAGCTGTCCTGTGACTGACTGTCTTAACTGGGCATTTTCTCAACTTGACTCTCATTTCTTCCCTGCTGGTAAAATAGAAACAGGGATTTAGGCTTGGCTTTGGCAAGAGCCTCCAGCTCCCATCATCCCAAGTCCTTGGGGCCTGTTGGGAGCTCCTAGCTAACACGGAGACACAGTGCATCAGCTTCAAGAAAGGGGCAACTTGTGCAGTCTCGAGCGGGCGAGTGTCTCATGCAAGGACATGGTAAGGGCACTGATGCCACAGCTGGCAGGAGCTACTGTGCTCGTCTAAAGTGTGTGCCGTGTGTGCCCCAGGGCTTCCCACCCCTTCTCTAGCCCCTGTACTTTAGTTTGACCTCCATGGAAATATTTATTTTCCTAAGGAATCTAAGATGATTTTCTGTGACTGTTTCTTTTAGCTGAAAGGGTAGGATACTGGCTTGGGCACAGGGTGAGGGAGATTTAGTATCTGTGCTCGGGTGCATATGATGAGAATCCCCTTTGGGCTCAGAAATGATGTACAGCCCAGACCTCCAGCCTTGTCTTTCAGCATCAGCGGCCGTGCTGGGGGATCACCCCATGATTAACCATGTCCTCTCCCCAGGGCACGTCAGTCTGGAGGCCTGAGTGGTTACAGATGCCACATATTAAACACAGAAGGGCCAGGCGCGATGGCTCAAGCCTGTAATCTCAGCACTTTGGGAGGCCGAGGTGGGTGGATCACAAGGTCAAGAGATCAAGACCATCCTGGTCAACATGGTGAAACCCCATCTCTACTAAAAAAAAAAAAATACAAAAAATTAGCTGGGCATGGTGGTGCATGCCTGTAATCCCACCTACTCAGGAGGCTGAGGCAGGAGAATTGCCTGAACCCAGGAGGCGGAGGTTGTGGTGAGCCGGGATCGTGCCATTGCACTCCAGTCTGGGTAACAAGAGTGAAACTCTGTCTCAAAAATAAAAATAAAAATAAATAAACACAGAAGGTTTCCCCCTGCTCCCTTAACCTCCCACCACATTCACAACGTGCAGCATGTCCCATTTCCTTTTGAAACATATTAAGTAACAACACAGCTTTTATTTTGTTTTTATTTTTTTCCCCTGAGGTCCCGGATGGACTTTAACAAAGGAATTTTATGGTCAAAACCTCCCTTTTCCCACCCCTAACAGAAAACAAACATAACACCTCTCCTCTCAGCTGGTCTGTGCTGCCTGGAATCTGTGCTCCAGGGCTTGTTCTCGCGGGTTTTTCCTGGCACTTGGCTGGGGAATGGCCACCTCCTTGTGCCCCTCTCACAGCTCCTGAGGAGGCTCTTTTTTTTTTCTTCCCATATAGATGGGTTCTCACTATGTTCCCCAGGCTGCTCTCCAATTCCTGGCTTCAGGCAATCCTCCTGCCTCCGCCTCCCAAAGTGAGATCCACTGTCCTCAGCACTGAGGAGGCTCCTTACCTGGAGGAACATCAGGCAGGTCTTGCCAGGCCAGGTTGTGGAAAGCTGGTCTGGACGTAGTGCTTGTAGAGAAGCCGCTGGGAGATTGGGCACGTCCTGTTATGGTGCTGCTTCTCCCACCCTTAGGTTACTAGCAAGTTCTGAAGTGATATAAATGCTAGAACTACTGTAGAACTGTATGCCAGAAACTAAAAGAGACTAATCAACATTCCAGGATATAAAGGAATGTATATTGTCACTGGGCAGCAAACCGCACCCTAAAGACAATTCAGAGAGCCAAGGGAGAGGAATATAGGCCAGGCATCCTGCTGACTGCTGATCCCTGCCCCTTTGTTAAGCTGAGTGAGTGTCTTCTGATTCTGTCTGTGTGCCTTTGTAAGCCCAGGCCAGTCATCAAGGGGCAGGGCGTTGTTGTGTGTTAACCTTGAAGCCTTCTGGGGAGAGACAGAGCAGGGACCTCAAATGAAGCCAAAGGGGAAACCGGGGCTGGCATCCACCTCCCCAATCTCGTTTTGTTTTGTTGTTATTTTTTTGAGTTAGGATCTTGAGCCCGGGCTGGCGTCAAACTCCTGGGCTCAAGTTATCCTCCCGCCTCAGCCTCCCCAGTAGCTCGGACTATAGGTGCACACCACCACACCTGTCTCCCGGTCTTAATTCCAGCCTAAATCTTCCCCATTCAGAAACAAACTCCTGGATGTGGTGGCCCAGCCTGTCCCGACTGAGTGCCCAGCACTGACAGTGTTGGCACCTGGGGAGGGAGGCTTGGGTTTTAAGCTGAGGTTGAAAAGGAATGTTGAATGGGCCAAGGATAATGGCAGCAGGGTTGGTTATCTTTCTGGCTCAGGTGAGGAAAAAAGAATCCCATTCTGTGGGTGTTCCTTGACCATCTCTACCCTAGAGCTGAGGTCACTTCTCTGCCATGACAGCATAGCTGGGGTCTGACCTTTTGACTATCAGGAAAGCAGTGTGCGAGCTGAGCTGAGCCTGCTCTGAGGGAGAGGAGGGGGTCCTGTACAGATGCAGAAGGGGAGCTTGCCTGCTGCTCTCACAATGGAGCCCTTGTTTCTCTTCATTGAACCAGTATTTCCCAAGATTGGAAGCAGGCTCAAAGTGCACAAGGGACACCTGTCCAGGTTATCAAGTATCCCATCCATTATCCATTATTTCTGGATCTTCACACAGTAAGGAGAGGATGTGGGTCTCATGCAGAGAGCGGGGGTCTTTTTGGCCATTAAAGTATATTGTTCACCCCAACCCAGCAGGAAGCAGGCTCAGGAGTTGCCTACCTCTGCACATGTGCTGAATGCGCTGTTTATGTATATCGGGCGACTGTCCCCATGGGGCATGTGTGAGCTCCGATGCTGTGTCAGGCTCCTCAGTCCAGGTTTACTTCATCCTGCCTGGATGAGTTACTTTGACTGTCTACTGCAGCCCAAAGCACTTCCCCTCCATGGGTGCTGTAGCTGTCTCACTGGAGCATTGCCCCTCCAAGTTTGAGGATTTGAACAAAGAACTGGGACTGGTGACCTGTTAATGAACAGTTCAGAGGGCACAGGCCATCCTCTCAGCCTGTAGAGACCTCGCTTTCCCTGGATGCTGCTTCTCATCTCAATCCCTCTCTCTTCGTGTGTGTACTCAGCCCTCAGTGTCTCCACCAGATTAAAACCTTCTTCCCACCATGATAGCTTGGCTTTAATGTGGAATTAAATTATATATTTTTAAAATTTATTTTCTGATTCTTGCTCTAAAGTGTATCAGTGCATTGATGTTTTGTGTTTCTAGGAAGAGGTAATGTCACGTTTTATTTATGGATGGTGCTTGGGATGTCCCTCCAAGGGATGGTCTCAGGTTGGTGCTGGGCCAAGGCTGCTGGCAGTTCAGGCGTGAACACAGTTGGGCTGGCCCAACCTCAGAACAGCTGCAGTTTCTGTTTAACACGAGAGCCCCTGTTTGCACCTGAGCCTGTCTCCCGGACAGTGGTTTACACAGGAGCTGGGTCTGGAAGCACCCATTCTGCCCCTCCCACCTCTTGTTACCTCTACTCAGTCATACTTCCTCCGCAGGTGTCACCATGTTGTCCGCTTTGCCGTTTCTATCCATACCCAAAATCTCAGCCTCAGGACTCTGATCTCTCCCAGATTTGGGCAAGGAGAATCTAGGTGATTCCCACTCCCCCACTGCCCTGAAGATCTAGTCTCCACTGGCCAGAATCCAGGGCCTGCTCTAGCCTCTCCCTGTACTGTCTGGCCTGGGAGTCTTTCTCCTTTGGCCCATTCTCCAAACGATTGTCCCCAACCCCAGCAAAAGTAGCAACCTAGGAGCTGAGGTAGGATGGAGGACATGCAATTGGGGTCTATGTGGGGCAGCAGGGTCAGGGGAACAGTAAGGATCACAGAAACCAAAAACCAAAACCCTGCCTGAAGAAGTCCCAGGGGGGACAGCCTTGCAACTCAGTGGCCCTCCTGCCCCACCCTCAGGGCCAGGGAGACTGCTGCAGGAAGCAGGCTCAAAGTGCACAAGGGACACCTGTCCAGGTTATCAAGTATCCCGTCCATTATTTCTGGATCTTCACACAGTAATGCTGGGAAGCGGGAAGGGTAGGTATCATTAAGCCCATTTTTCAGAAGAGAAATAGGTACCTTTTTTCAAATCCACATGGGGATTAAATGTCAGGGCCTGGCCCCAAACCAGTGAGCTCTGCTCCAAGGCCAGAGCTCTTTCCATCCCCAGGTCTGTTTTCACAGGACAGCAAAGAGGACACAGGATAACTAAGGGGAGAAGTGGGGCTTTATTAAGGTCTGGCAGATGTGGTGGAGGTGGAAGTGGAAACTGGGCCTAGGAAAGGGCAGAAGAAAGGCAAAGGGCCCCTTGGAGCAGGAGCCCATCCCTCTCTGCTTCCACCCAGCACCCCCCATCCCAGGTTCCTTTTCGTCGACCTCCCCCTGCCTCCGGGAACACAGCACCAAGAACTGACAAGCCGGGACCCACCCAGGGCCACAGCTTGGGGCAAAGTCCACCGCAGTGGGAAGATCTGGGGATCTCAGAGAACCTCCTCTCCCTCATGCCAGTTTAAGTTGGGAAGCGCCTTCTCTGTCCCCCAGAACAGAACAAACTCTTGTTCTCCGTGGTTGGGGAAAAGGTGTGGGGGGCTTGGACACAGGAAGCAGGACCTGGGAAGAAGCTGATTTGAATTCCCCCAGGGCCCAGGTGGAGCCCCCAGGGGAGTTTCTGAGACTCCCCCTTTAGAGACTTGCCATTTCTCCACTTTTCCTTCCCCGTGGCTGGTGAGCAGCTCAGTCTGGGCCAGGGCAACTGGTAGGACAGTGGGGATCTGCCCAGAGTCATCTGTGGGTTTCAGATGAAGTTTCCCTAACACCAAATTCATCTATATGTACACAGGGCAGCACCCACCTGTGGCAGGGGGAATAGCAGCTGGGGGCTACTAAGAGTAGCCACCCTTGGGGCCAAACAGCTGGGCAGGGCCAGCGAGCTCTGGGAGGCATGCAGGGCCCTCGTCCAAGTGAGACAAAGAGACCGTGTCCTCCTCACTGACCGGCCGGTCAAACTCAGCCATGAGAGCTGGACGCTGATTATCCGGGAAGGCCAAAGAGAAGAGGGCCTCGGGCTCGCACACAAACTTGTACATGTAACGCACTCCAGCCACCTATGGGGAGAGAGAAGGGCTGGTCAGCCTGGCTAGCCCCGCAGCCTTGGTATGGGGTAAGGCGGGGGAGAGGGGAATGCAGCCTTCTACCAGTCCAGGCAGATGCTCAGGGCATTTCTCCCCCATGCTGGCTCCCCTGAGAAGCTGACTCTCCCTTCACAGTTCTTACTCCTTTTTCATGTCAATTTCTCCCTGCTTGGGGCCTCTCAGTTCCAGTGTAGCACTTTTTTTGGGAGAGGAGAACCTTGGGATTGTCCACAATTTCTTGTCCCTCTGACTGATTCATTAACTGATCCTACAGAGTTGCTGAGAACTGCCCTTCTGAGCCTTTCCGTCATTAGCTTCCCACAGCCACTGCCCCCACCACCTCGTCCCTGGACCCATAGCCCCCACCTTCTGCATGATGCCTTTCTCGTATCGGAGCCAGCGGCTCAGCTTGTCATAATTCATGGCTGGCCGGTTCTGGATGCCCCAGAGCCTGGCAACCTGGGGACAAAACAGTTTTGGGGTGGAGATGCTACCTTGGCAGAGGAAAAGAAATGGGGGAAAGGTCAAAAAGAGCACTTGAGAGTCTCGGTGCAAAGTACTAAGCCAGCCCGGCAACAAAGCATCAGCCCAGGGACCAGGCGCGGTGGCTCACGCCTGTAATCCCAGCACTTAGGGAGGCCAAGGCGGGTGGATCACAAGGTCAAGAGATCGAGACCATCCTGGTCAACATGGTGAAACCCCGTCTCTACTAAAAATACAAAAAAATAAGCTGGGCACGGTGGTGCGTGCCTGTAATCCCAGCTACTCAGGAGGCTGAGGCAGGAGAATTGCCTGAACCCAGGAGGTGGAGGTTGCGGTGAGCCGAGATGGCGCCATTGCACTCCAGGCTGGGTAACAAGAGCGAAACTCCGTCTCAAAAAAAAAAAAAAAGCATCAGCCCATAGACGTAGGCTTGGCAAGAATTCCAGTCAGGTAAAGCAAGGATCATGGTGGGGGCACGTGCCACCATTCCCCAGGTTCTCCCATCTCCAGGCCCTCAACTTTGGAAAGGAGGGCTGGGGTTATCTGAGAGACCCACCTCATCAGGCTCAATGAGCTTGAACTCCATTCCCCGGCCCGTCCAGGCAATGAAATGGGCATTAGTTGGGTCTTCCAGCAGGGCCACCAGAAATTGCCACAGCTGCAGGGCACCCCGGCGCTGGTAGGGTGGCCCCTCTCGAAATGCACCAACCCCTTCCTGCTTGATGTCTCCTGGGGAACACAAAAATAGGAGGTGTGGGGTTTAGGTCTTTTGGTCCCCCAAGCAACTGCCTCCCCTCACCCCAGGGATTTCTCCAAGGGGTCTCCCCAGGCACTTTTCTATGGGTCCCACCCTCTTGCCACCATGAAACCTGATGTGACTCCTGCGGGGACACAGCATGATAAGACCTTGACCCTCCCATGAACAGTCACTTCTCTGACCTTCAAATTTCTCAGGGACAATGCAGACGTCATCTGGGAATGGTCGAAGGGTTTTCTCATAGCCATAGCCTTGTGGAGGAAGTTAGGGGCTGCTCAGATTTGGGGGTTCACTGATGAAACCCCAGAGTCCAGAGGGACTGCTGGCCAGGGAGACCCTCCCCCATGGCAGCACTCCCTCCCCCAACATGGAGGGCTTGGCAGGGGAAGGGGAACTGCCTTACCCATGGCCCCATCACCTGGAGAGGGCCCGGAGAAGCCCTCTGTGTGGAGGTACATTGATGCACACCCAGTGAGATCTGTGGGGAAGAAAGGGGTATGTGAGAGGTGGCTAGGGTGGAGCTGGGGGGGAAGGGAGGAGGAAATCCTATCCACATTCAAGAATTTCTTCCTAGGCCAGCTCAGTGGCTCACACCTGTAATCTCAGCACTTTGGGAGGCCAAGGTAGGTGGATCATGAGGGCAGGAGTTCAAGACCAGCCTGACCAACATGGTGAAACCCATCTCTACTAAAAATACAAAGAAATTAGCCAGGCTTGGTGGCACTTGCCTGTAATCCTGGCTACTCAGGAGGCTGAGGCAGGAGAATTGCCTGAACCCGGGAGGCGACAGTTATGGTGAGCAGAGATCCCGCCATTGCACTCCAGCCTGGGCAACAGAATGAAATTTAAGTCTCAAAAAAAAAAAAAAAAGTTCTTCCTTCCATCCTGCTTCCTGGTGACTATTCTTTGCCCAAGTTGCCTGCCAACCACAAAATCCCAGGGGAAGTTCACCCAGAGGGAGTGTGAAGCTGGAGCCCCTCAACTTGAGGGCTGGGGCAGAGGCCATGGAAGGCAGCAGCAGGGGCTGGGCAAGCTGTTCTGCAAGGCCCAAGCTGCCAGGGAGCAGCTGTTTCCTGCAGGTTCAGAGGGAGGAGGGAGGGTGAGATGAACGTCCGGGGGAAAGGGTTGGGTGTCCACGCCTGAATCCCTCAGAATGGACACATGTCCGGTCAGCAGGTCAGATTCCCAGCCCCGTGCGCACCTGTGTGTGTGTGTGTGTGTGTGAGACAAACTGAGAGTATGTGCCTGCATGCACCTGGGGAAGAGGCAGTGGGCAGTGGGCATTGTTTTTTCAGGTCTAACAGAGCACATTTCACTTTATTTCATTCCATTCCATAGGATAGGAACCTCCCCACTCCACATCAGGGAGGCGGTGGTATGAAGCCATCGGTTCAAGTTCCAACCCCTTCCCGCCCTCCCCCGACTCCACTCCACTCCCACCTATGAATGAGAAGATGGTGAAACCCGACACCTCAGGGAGGAGGTGGGAGGGTGGGCTCATTCATGCATCCCTTTTGTGAATGGAATTCCTGACTCCATTCAGGCGTAGCTGGGGGGAGGGGTAGGAGTTCAAGGGCATGTAACACGATCCCCTCCGGTCTACAGCCTTTGAAGGTCAGCGGCAGAGTGCCTCCCTCCTCCTCTCCCAGCTCACTGCCAAGCCTGGGTCAGGCTTAGGCCCAGGATTTGAGGACAGGAGCACCCATCCGGTTCTCAGCCGGACAGCCTGGGGGTTTGTGGCTCATCCCCCTGCCCCTGAAAGGTTGTGGGCACCACAACAAGAGAAATTCTAAAGTTCTGGCTGACTCTGAGCCTACTCTAATAAACTCAGATTTGGGGCTAGTAACAATGTAACAAAAGCCAGGCTGAAAGAAGAAAAAGGCAGGGTTTTCTGGGCCCTTCCTGGGACTGGCCCTCCCTCAGCCCTTGTGACCTTGAATTATAGCTATTTATGAACCTAGCTGAGTGCAATTCACTCCAGTCAGCAGCCAGGTGGAACTAGAACTTAAATCCTCTAAAGTTCAACATTTAGGCTGGGTGCAGTGCTTACACCTGTAATCCCAGCACTTTGGGAGGCCAAGGCAGGCAGATCACTTGAGATCAGGACTTCAAGACTGGCCTGGCCAACATGGTACAACCTGTCTCTACTAAAAATAAAAAATAAAAAATAACTAACTGGGCTTGGTGGCTCACGCCTGTAATCCCAGCACTTTGGGAAACCGAGGTGGGCAGATCACCTGAGGTCAGGAGTTTGAGACCAGCCTGACCAACATGGAGAAACCCTGTCTCTACTAAAAAGACAAAATGCCAGGCATGGTGGCACGTGCCTGTAATCCCAGCTATTCAAGAGGCTGAGGCAGGAGAGTCACCCGAACCCGGGAGGCGGAGGTTGCGGTAGACGGAGATCGCGCCATTGCATTCCAGCCTAGGCAACAAGAGGCGAAACTCCGTCTGAAAAGAAAAAAGAAAAATTAGCCGGGTATGGTGGTGGGCACCTGCAGTCCCAGCTACTCAGGAGGCTGCAAAAAGGGAATTGCTTGCCTCAAGGGAATCTATGCCAGGAGGCAGAAATTGCAGTGAGCCAAGATCACACCACTGCACTCTACCCTGGGCGACAGAGCAAGACTCTGTCTCAAAAAAAAAAAAAAAAAATTAATGCAACCCCAGGCCCCAGAAAACACTTTCATAGGAGTGAGCACCTCCAACCTAGGGCCTGTAGTTTTCCTTAGTGCCCTGGAAAATTCCAAGGGTGCGACATGTTTTGTTATTTGAGGATATAAAGAATCTTTCTTTTTCTGGTTGAGGTTGGATATTGGCCCACTTGAATGTCAGCTGAATAACATTATCTGTGAAGAACATTGGCCTTTCCTGTGGCCCCTGCTGGGTTCCCAAACTCTAGCCACAAGGCTGAGCAGCAAAGAATTGGTTCCAAGCCAGTGTGAGTGAGATTCAGTTTTAACTGCAGTCCAGTCAAATGCCCTGTTTGTAACCAACTATTCTCTGCTGTTTTCGATTTTTTGTGCCCTATTCTGTTTCACTGGTGTAGACAATTGACAGCAAAGTATCTGACAATAAAGTGGGCTTTCTTTTCGTTTGTTTGTTTGTTTTCAGTTAGGGTGTCGCTCTGCTGCCCAGGCTGGAGTGCAGTAGCACAGTCTCGGCTCACTGCAACCTCTGCCTCCCGGGTTCAAGCAATTCTCCTCCCTCAGCCTCCTGAGTAGCTGGGATTACGGGCACCCACCACCACGCCCAGCTAATTTTTGTATTTTTAGTAGAGACGGAGTTTTGCCATGTCGGTCAGGCTGGTCTCAAACTCCTGACCTTGTGATCCGCCTGCCTTGGCCTCCCAAAGTGCTGGGATTACAGGTGTGAGCCACTGTGCCCGGCCTATAGCAGGGTTTCTCAAGAGTGGCACTATTGACATGTAGGCCGAGAGATAGTGTTTTATGAATATATTGTGGGGAGCCGTCCTGAGCTTCATAGGGTGCTTTCGGAAGTATCCCTGACTCTACCCACTAGACGCCAATAGCACCCCACCCTCAACAGTGACAACCAAAAATGTCTACAGATAGGACCAAACGTCTCCTGGGGAGCAAAATCGTCCCTCAGTCACGAAAGTGACTGAGAACACTAGAACTGGACTCTGCTGAACTGGCCCAGGCCCCTCACTTCAGATCTAAGGCAGTGGAGGATCAAACAGATAGTGTCTGCTGGAGGGTCACACAGCAAGAACACGGCCGGCCCCGGGTTTCAACCAAGGTTCTCATTCCAGTTGCTGCCTTGGTCTTTGAGATCAAACCCAAGAATGGGGAGCCCTGACCTTTACCCCCACTGTTTTCAGGAGAGAACAGCTGATCTGTGATTCTCTATCCTATGACTCACTTCCTGCCACCCCCCCACCCCTTATGCCCTCCCTCTACTCACGGTTTCTGAATGGAAATCAGGAACAAACTGCTCATCACTGTCTGGTACCTGAGCTGCAGAGAGAGATCAGAGGTGAGTTTGGGGTGGGGCCCTGGTGGGCGCCTGGGAGGCTCCATTATTGCAGCCCTGCAGATTAGCGACAGTTAAGAGAGGACCAACAGCCTTTAGACTGGGGTGTCCACATTTTAAGAATTGTCTTTGGCCACACATAAAATACACAAATACACTAACACTAACGATATCTGATGAACTTAAAAAAAAAATCACAAACAAATCTTATAATGTTTTAAGAAAGTTTATGAGGAATTGGTGTTGGGCCTGGGCTGCATTCAAAGCCACCCTGGGCTGCGTGTGGCCAGCAGGCCCATGTGTTGGACAAGCTTGCTTAAAACTAAAGGTAGCTCCACCCTAGGTCCTAGTGCCCTCTAGCTCTGGGCTCCACTAAGACTCAGGAGGGAAGACTGTTCCCAGAACCTGCAGGAGCAGATTCCAGTCTTTCTTTTTCTAGATGCCTTGTCTTCATTTCCTCCATTTTTCTGAAGTGGAACAGCCTTGCCTGTCAAAGTTTACAAAACTCCCTCAAAGCTCACAGCAGTCATATCTGGGATGGGCAGACAGTGGGATCCTGTGGATTTAAAATCACATAGGAGGTGGGCGGGTGCTGTGGCTCATGCCTATAATCCCAGCACTTTGGGAGGCCGAGGCAGGTGGATCACCTGAGGTCCGGAGTTTGAGACCACCCTGGCCAACCTGGTGAAACCCTGCCTCTGCTGAAAATACAAAAATTGGCTGGGCGTGGTAGCTGGTATTTATAATCCCAGCTACTCAGGAGGCTGAGACAGGAGACTTGCTTGAACCTGGGAGGCGGAAGTTGCAATGAGCTGAGATGGCACCCCTGCACTCCAGCCTGGGCAACAAGAGTGAAACTCTTTCTCAAAAGAAAAATTAAATAAAATCACATGGGAGGTGGCTGGGTGCGGTGGCTCACACCTGTAATCCCAGCACTTTGGGAGGCTGAGGCAGGAGGATCACTTGAGGTCAGAAGTTCAAGACCAGCCCGGCTAACAAGGCATAACCCCCTCCCCGTCTCTACTAAAAAATGCAAAAATTAGCCAGGCATCTTGGTGGGCACCTGTAATCCCAGCTACTCGGGAGGCTGAGGCAGGAGAATCACTTGAACCTGGGAGGTGGAGGTTGCAGTGAGCCGAGATCACACCACTGCACTCCAGCCTAGTGACAGAGTGAGACTCCCGTTTAAAAAAACAAACAAAAATAAATAAAATAAAAAGTAAATATATAAGTTAAAGTTACATGGGGGAGGTTCTGAGTCTGGGCTAGACCCAGGAATCTGCATTTTAAACACCCAGGTGATTTTGAGACGTACAAGAGTTCTGAGGCTGGATACAGTGGCTCACTTCTGTATTCCCAGCACTTTGGGAGGCCAAAGTGGGGAGATTGCTTGAGTCCAGCAGTTTGAGACCAGCCTGGGCAGTGCAGTGAGTCCTTGTCTCTACAAAAAAATTAAAACAGCTGGGTATGACAGCATGTGCCTGTAGTCCCAGCTCTTCAGGAGGCTGAGATGGGAGGATTACTTGAGCCCTTTTAGGAGGCAGAAGTTGCAGTGAGCCAAGATCATGCCACTGTACTCCAGACTGGGCAACAGAGCCTGCTGCTCTCCCTATCTCAAAAAAAAAAAAAAAATTCCTGAGCCAGGGAAAGGAGATGGAATGGAGGCAAGAGGGAGGTTTGACAGAGGGGAAAAGTTTGATGGATGTGGTAGATCAGCTACCTGGGAGGCTGAGGTGGGAGGATACTTGAGCCCAGGAGTTCAAGTTCAGCCTGGACAACATAGCAAGACCTTGTGTCAAAAATAAAAATAGGGCCTGGTGCGGTGGCTCACGCCTGTAATCTCAGCACTTTGGGAGGCCAAGGTGGGTGGATCACCTGAGGTCGGGAGTTTGAGACCAGCCTGACCAACATGGTGAAACCCTGTCTCTACTAAAAATGCAAAAATTAGCTGGGTGTAGTGGCACATGCCTGTAATGCCAGCTACTCAAGAGGCTGAGGCAGGAGAATTGCTTGAAACCAGGAGGCGGAGGTTGCAGTGAGCCAATATCACGCCATTGCACTCCAGCCTGGGTGACAGAGTAAGACTCCATCTCAAAAATAAAATGAAACAATATAGAAAAGGAGGATGACAGTGGGAGAGCAGGAGGCTGGTGACTGGGACCACTGCAGAAGGCAAAGGACACTGGCTGAGCACCTAGATGCCTCATTCCTTTAATATGCAGTTGAGGGGAGGGATTCCCAAGGTTGGAGATCTGAGGAGCTCTCCCAGGATGCCAGAATGGGTGGAGCTAGGTTTAGGAATAGGCAGGAAAACTGAAATGCAGCAGCAGCTCATCCAAGGCTTCTAACCGGGACAGCAAACTCTGATTTCCAGTTCTTATCCTGGCCTCCCCAGAGGGGAGCTTCCCAGGTGGTTATACAGCTAAGTGTCTCCCTTGATCCCACCCTTGCCCACTTTTGCCCCGCTCTCAAAAATAAAGGGATCACATCAGGAAGTGTAGACATCAAGAACTTCCTGACATTCCAGAGAGTGGTTCTAGGTGATGAGGTGGAACCTGTAGCCCGACGAGGCTGGACTCTCCTTCCCTGGAGACTACTCTCAGATTGGACAATGGGGAAACTGATAAAATGCCCAGAGAGGTCAGAATGGCTGGTGAGGGGGATAGGATGGCTAGAGAAAACCTCCACACACACCCCGCCTACACAAATACGATCCCATCCCTTCTGCTTCCCTCTACGCTATTGGATTTCAGCCACAGCCTCTTATTAGAATACCCTACTCTTACCTCCTCTAGTCCCTTGCTCTCCACCTAGCTGCCAAGGTGATCTTTTACAACAAAAACGGAATCATTTCTCTCTTATTTAAAGCATGAAATCCAAATGCTTGCCCTTGGCCTCCAAGGCTCTGCACGACTCGGCCTTGCCTGCCTCTGACCCGCCTCTCCTTGCCTGAGTCGGCAGCACTCTGATCTCCTTTCTAGCCTCAAACCTGCTGAGCTTGTTCCTTCTTCCTCAGATGCTTTCCTGCCTTCCTCTTTGTTTCCTGGCCATCAGAGTCTCAGCTCACTTTGACATCTCTGCAGAGGCCTTCTCTGACCGCCTCTAAACCAAAATGGTTCCTCCTGGCTCTCTATTGAGCCTCTGTTCTGTTTTCTACCTGGCAAATACTGCCACCTGAACTTATTAATTTATGTTTACCCGTTTATTGTCTATCTGTCTATCTATCAATCGATCTATCTATCATCTATCTCCACCAGGAAGTTAAGCTCTATGAAGGCAAGAGATTTATCTCTGGTCATCTGATTCTCCAACACCCAGCACAGGTCAGAGTAGACAGCATGTTAGAGTAGACGCTGGCTGCATTATTTCCTGAGTGTGTGAATAAACAGGCAATAATCGTTTGTCCTCAGGCTGGGAGGAGTCAGCACTGTGGGCCTGGGGACATGCACTGAAGAAATCCTGACCATCCTAGCCCTTCCCTGCAGGCTCCCCTTTCTCCACACACAAGGCAACACTAGAGAGGGGCAGGTCCTCTCTAGGAAAGCACATCTCACAGGGGGATACTTTAGGTTGTGATACATTGCTTGGCAAGAATATTCTTCAACAACTTGCTTTAAATATTAGAGGTATCAAGTGTTTATAAACATAGGCTTGTATTAATAGATAGTTGATTTCTTGACAGAAGGATTAGGGAGAGGGAGTTAAAGAATTGGGAGCCACCAGCAGCTAGAGGAGAAGTGAGGACGAGTCAACATAGTAATACTTTGGTCTAAAGTGCCCAAAGAAATCAATGAGACCTGAAATCCAGTGGCAAGAACAAACAGAAACACACAGGTGGCACCCATCTTTTCAGGAACACAAGCATGGCAAAAAGTCAGCCATTCCCAAACTGGCCTAATTCAAGTCACCAGAGCATAGTTAAAAACACGATTCCGGCAGGGCGTAGTGGCTCAAGCCTGTAACCACAGCGTTTTGAGAGGCCAAGGCAGGCAGATTATCCGAGGTCTGGAGTTCCTGGCCAACGTGCCAAAACTGCATCTCTACTAAAAATATAAAAATTAGCCAGGCGAGGTGGCACACACCTGTAATCCCAGTTACTTGGGAGGCTGAGATAGGAGAATCACTTGACCCGGGAGGCAGAGGTTGCAGTGAGCCGAGATCACGCCACTGCACTCCAGCCTGGGCAACAGAGTGAGAACCTGTCTCAAAAAATAATAATAGGGCCGGGCACGGTGTCTCATGCCTGTAATCCCAGCACTTTAGGAGGCTGAGGTGGGCGGATTACTGGGTCAGGAGATCGAGACCATCCTGGCCACCATGATGAAACCCCGTCTCTGGTATTCAGAGGGGGTTTCGTAAAAAATGAAAGTTATTCCTGAGAGTGTTTAAAATTACTGAAGTCCACCTGCTAGTTGTTACATATATTTTTGTCACATAATTTCATATAATTTAGAACAGTTTTATTTTCCTTTAAAAATCATTGTTCCTGGTTTAATTTTTTTTTTTTATTATTTTGGTTCTGTTTTAGGAAAGGGGACTACCACAGGGATCTGGCAGAGTTTGCCACAGGGAATGACAGAAAGGAGGCTGCAGAGAACAGCCTCGTGGCCTATAAAGCTGCCAGTGATATCGCAATGACAGAACTTCCGCCAATGCATCCTATTCCCTTAGGTCTTGCTCTCAATTTTTCCGTATTCTACTATGAAATTCTTAATTCCCCTGACTGTGCCTGCAGGTAAGTTGTGGGGAAGAGCAAAAGCTCTCAGCATGAAAGTTCAGGGCAGCTATTTGGGCTTTTCGTATTGTTTCTGGGCCCTGCCTTTATAGACTCGGCTGAGTACTTCTGGCTCTTACTGAAACTACTTTGGATAGTATTGAAACAGACCTCTCAACCTACTAGCATAGTGGTCAGGAGAAGTATTCTGATGTGGGATAGTTTTGTTGTTGGTAGATAGAAAATGTTAAAATGAGGAGAGGAATTATAATTGTTTTCATTTTTGTATATTAGTTTTCAGTCTTTTTTTTCTATTGACTAGAACTTGGAGATTTTTTTTTTGTGATGATTTAGGATGGAATTTGTTCACTATATTTTATTAGTCGATATATTTATTGTAGCATATCAGTAGCAGGCTTAAAGCATCGTAAGAAGTAGTGCTCCACATACCTTTAATTTTTATTAGTTGTATTTGCTTTTTTTTATATCATTGTCACTTACACACTGGAATAACTGAAAAAAAGATTGCTGTCTGTCATTTCTAATTTTGATTTGGGACTTAATTTTTGTAATACATTTATTTAAATACTCTAGGTTGGCGAAAGCAGCTTTTGATGATGCAGTTGCAGAACTGGATACGCTGAGTGAAGAAAGCTATAAGGACTCTACACTAATCATGCAGTTGTTACGTGATAATCTGACACTATGGATTTCAGACATGCAGGGCGACGGTAAGGAAACAACCTCAAGGAAAACAGACATCTCTTTAAGTTGCAGGCTTTGGTTTTAAATTCCTTGGGGGCTGGGTGCGGTGGCTCAAGCCTGTAATCCCAGCACTTTAGGAGGCTGAGGCAAGTGGATCACGAGGTCAAGAGATCGAGACCATCCTGGTCATCATGGTGAAACTCCGTCTCCACTAAAAATACTAAAAATTAGCTGGGCACAGTGGCGCGTGCCTGTAATCCCAGCTACTCAGGAGGCTGAGGCAGGAGAATTGCCTGAACCCAGGAGGCAGAGGTGGCGGTGAGCCAAGATCGCACCATTGCACTCCAGCCTGGGTAACAAGAGCGAAACTTTGTCTCAAAAAAAAAAAATTCCTTGGGATATCTTTACATCAAGCTACAGTTTAGACTCACCGCCTGAGATTTTAACTAGTGTCTCTCTAGGAAATGGTACTAAAGTATGTGCTCCATTTCTGGAAACTTTTACCTCATCCTTTACACTGTTTCAAGTATGTGAAATCCTGTCTCTACTGCAAATACAAAAATTGGCCGGGCATGGTGGCAGGTCCTGTAGTCCCCGCCACTTGGGAAATTGAGGCAGGAGAATCGCTTGAACCTGGGAGGGTGGAGGTTGTAGTGAGCTGATATTGCACCACTGCACTCCAGCCTGGGCAACAGAGCGAGGCTCTGTCTCAGAAAAAAAAAAAAAAAAAAAAAAGCCTGGTACAGTCCCTGATGTGTATATATATATATCTTTATTTATTTATTGAGATAGAGTGCAATGGCGCTACCTCTGCTCACTGCAACCTCCGCCTCCTGGGTTCAAGTGATTCTCCTGTCTTAGCCTCCCCAGTAGCTGGGATTACAGGCATGTGCCAGCACATCCAGCTAACATCCAGCTAATTTTTGTATTTGTTTTTTTGTAGAGACAGGGTTTCACCTTATTGGCCAGGCTGATCTGGAGCGCCCAGCTATTTCTATTTTTAGAGATTTTCAGGCCAGGCACGGTGGCTCACGCCTGTAATCCCAGCACTTGGGAGGCCAAGACAGGTGAATCACAAGGTCAGTAGTTCAAGACCAGCCTGGCCAACATGGTGAAACCCTGTCTCTAATAAAAATAAAAAAATTAGCTGTAATCCCAGCTACTTGGGAGGCTGAGACAGGAGAATCACTTGAACCCCAGAGGTTGAGGTTGCAGTGAGCTGAGATCATGGCACTGCATTCCAGCCGGAGGAACAGAATGAGGCTCTGTCTCAAAAAAAAAAAAAAAGTTCATTGCAAACACTTTAACTAGAGTATTTTACTAAACTTAATTGTGATGTTGAGTATGTGCCTGTTAATGTTTACTTTAAATACAAAAGCCCAAAGTTGTTACATTTGTTGATTTTTTTTTTTTTTGAGACGGAGTTTTGCTCTTGTTACCCAGGCTGGAGTGCAATGGTGCAATCTCAGCTCACCGCAACCTCCGCCTCCTGGGTTCAGGCAATTCTCTTGCCTCAGCCTCCTGAGTGGCTGGGATTACAGGCACGCACCACCGTGCCCAGCTAATTTTTTGTATTCTTAGTAGAGACGGGGTTTCACCATGTTGACCAGGATGGTCTCAATATCTTGACCTCATGATCCACCCGCCTCGGCCTCCCAAAGTGCTGGGATTACAGGCTTGAGCCACCGCGCCTGGCCTCATTTGTTGATTTTAAAGGAAATTTTATTGTGTCTCTAAAGAATCATTTTTATCCCTGGTAGATTGTTGAGCAGGGATGGAGAAGAGGACAAATGAGTGTGATATGGGCATTATAAGTTAGTTTTAAATTTGCTTTTGGTGGTGGGTTAGAAACAAAGTTTATTGTCCGTTTTAGCTGCAGTTCCTTTAAGAATGTTTCTTACAACCGGGCGTGGTGGCTCACGCCTATAATTCCAGCACTTTGGGAGGCCAAGGTGGGTGGATCATGAGGTCTGTAGATCGATACCATCCTGGACAACACGATGAAACCCTGTCTCTACGAAAAATACAAAAATTAGCTTGGTGTGGTGGTGCTGCACCTGCGGTCCCAGCTACTCAGGAGGCTGAAGCATGAGATTTGCTTGAACTCGGGAGGTGGAGGTTGCAGTGAACCAAGATACCACTGCACTCCAGCCTGGTGCCTGGTGACAAAACGAGACTCTGTCTCAAAAAAAGAAGGTTTCTGGGGCCGGGCGCGGTGGCTCAAGCCTGTAATCCCAGCACTTTGGGAGGCCAAGGCAGGTGGATCACGAGGTCAAGAGATCGAGACCACCCTGGTTAACAAGGTGAAACCCCGTCTCTACTAAAAATACAAAAAATTAGCTGGGCATGGTGGCGTGTGCCTGTAATCCCAGCTACTCAGGAGGCTGAGGCAGGAGAATTGCCTGAACCAAGGAGGCGGAGGTTGCAGTGAGCTGAGATGGTGCCATTGCACTCCAGCCCGGGTAACAAGAGCGAAACTTTGTCTCAAAAAAAAAAAAGAAGGTTTCTTAGGCTGAAACATGTTGCATTGCTTGAGGCTAGCTGGGTTCTGTCATGAAACCACTTACTGCCTTGACTTTGGAAGTGTTACACTTTCTGAAAATGCCTCTGAAAGTGGGTGTGTATGTTTCTTTGGAAGGAGCAGATCAGATTTGTGAGTTTTGGGTTATGATACTGAAGTGAGAATCAGGTGACTCAGCTTTTAAAGCTCACTGGCTCTATGAAATGTTTAGGATTTGACTAGATGAGGATTGGCGTGAGATAGGTGATAAATGTAGGACCTGCTCAGACACTTCCAGCAATGCCAGAGGGAGCCACAGAACACTTCTCAACATGGCGTTTCAGGCACCTGCTACCAGCCGTACCAGCCCTTGGGACTCAAAACCAATTCACTAACTCTGAACAATGGGTTCTAGCTTTAAAATTCTGTTCTAGGCCAGTTGCAGTGGCTCATGCCTGTAATCCCAGCACTTTGGGAGGCCAAAGTAGGAGGATTACTTGAGCCTAGGAGTTCAAGACTAGCCTGGACAACATAGTAAGAGCCTGTTTTTAAAAAAAAGAAAAGAAAAAAAGGCCAGGTACAGTGGCATGCGCATGTAATCCCAGCTACTTGGGAGGCTGAGACAAGAGAATTGCTTGAATCCGGGAGGCAGAGGTTGCAGTGAGCTGAGATTGCACTACTGCACTGTGGGGGGACAGAGCAAGACTTTGTCTCAAAAGAACAAAAATAGCCAGGTGTGGCAACGAATGCTACTCCGAAGGCTGAGATTCAGGGATCTTGAAGCTGCAGTGAACCTTGATGGCGCCGCTGCACTCCATCTTGGATGTCTGAGCAAGACGCCATGTCTTACCAGAAAAATAAATCTGTTTTAACAACAGCTATGAAGGAGAATGGCCAAACAGCTCTGGACTCCTAACAGTCACCCCCACTCAGAGACTAGTATCTCTCTGCCTGTTTGAGAGCATGGAAGGAAAGCGTGTGGAGAATTTGGGAAGCAGGATTGACCTCAGGAAATCATGTCCCTCTCACCTGAGGGACATGTTTTTGAGAGTAGAGGTAATAAAGGTGACCTGGCTTTTTTTTTTTTAATATAATGAAAACATTTGATGTCAACTCATAACCAAATTAGATTACAAAATGAAATGGTTTATGGTAAGTAGTGCTTCTGTAGCTCATCATCACTGCTAACCAGTAGGTGATTAATCAAAGTAGACTACTTGTCTGTCCATATGCAGAACTAAAGATAACCCTTATTCTTGGAAGTATAGTTTTAGGAAGTGGATCATCTTAAAATAGGGTAATACTTTGGCAGTTTCTTTTCTTTTTTGAGATGGAGTCTCACACTGTCTCCTGGACTGGAGTGCAGTGGCACTATCTTGGCTTACTGCAACCTCTGCCTTTTGGGTTCAAGCAATTCTCCCGCCTCAGCCTCCTGAGTAGCTGGGATTGCAGGTGTCTGCCACCACACCCAGCTAATTTTGTTGTATTTTTAGTAGAGATGGGGGTTTCACCATGTTGGCCAGGCTGGTCTCAAACTCCTGACCTTGTGATTCACCCACCTCGGCCTCCCAGAGTGCTGGGATTACAGGTGTGAGCCACCATACCTGGCCTTGCAGTTTTTTTTTAATCTACAGAATTCATTTGTGTTCAATTCCTTGTTTAGTCCGTAAATCAAACAGCTGATAAAGGTTGGCTAAGCAGACTCATTTTCATTTAATATTTATTAAATGAAATATTTTTATTGATGTAATGTTTCAAGTCATGAAATGGTTCAACAATGAAAAATTCAGGTAGTCTATTGACATTCTGATACAACTAACAAACTCCAAATACACTAACAGATGTGAGTACAGGGAAATTGTTCATCAGTTTGAGAGGCTGGATTTGTCAAAAAATAACAGCATTACATTTTTTGTTTGTTTTTGAGACTGCATCTTGCTCTTACTGCCCAGGCTGGGGTGCCGTGATGCGATCTTGGCTCACTGCAACCTACGCTGCTGCTGCTGCATGCACCCCTCCATAACCCCCACTCCCCAGTTTAGAATGATTCTCCTGCCCCAGCCTTCTGAGTAGCTTGGTCTGCAGGCACATGCCACCAGGCCTGGCTGGCCTTTGGTTTTTTTCTTTGAGACAGTCTTGCTTTTGTTGTCCAGGGTGGAATGCAGTGGTGCAATCTTGGCTCACTGTAACCTCTGCCTCCCGGGTTCGAGTGATTCTCCTGCTTCAGCCTTCTGAGTAGCTGGGATTACAGGCATGCACCACCATCCAAGGAACTCTTTTTTTCCCTATCTGTACCTTTCAAGAGGATATTCTTACATCCTCCTCAGAGTAAAAGGGAGGAATAGACATTGTTTTTTAGAATGAAGTTTATAGGAAGTAAAAAGTCCCAAGTCTGGCTCCTTTATCATTGACGCTTTCCTTTGTCCTGCTCTGTTGGTTTACTTTTCTTGTAATGTTGCCTTCATACGATTGCTCTCCCTTCCTTTTTCCTTGCAATATAGATTCCTAATGGAAAACCCAACCGTTCCCTTCCTAAACGCTCCACTTTGTAAGTCATGATCCTGGCTCAGTGAACTCTGCTTTCGGTTTGGTTCTTCACTAATCATGCCTGCGTCTTTCCATCCTGTTGCTCACAAACCGCCTGACCACCTTCCAGGGCGCCTTTTATGGCCTGCTCCTCCTGCCGACTTGTGGTTGGGTGTGATGTATATGGCAAAGATATTTTTATGCCGAAGTTACGTGGAACTTTTGCAAATCTCATGGTTGCTTACGAGTGAGTTGTGTTCTAGTGTTGTGTTTTAAGTATATTTGGCAGTGGTTTGCTGTTAATGAGAGTGAATGTTCCTATCATGTTTCCTAAGTTTGAATACGTTATTGTCCTTTAAAGAACAGTTGGATGCCTATCAGTCCTTTCATCCCTAAGCCATGTTTTTTGTTTTTTGCCTTTGCATATTATTTCCTGTATTATTAAGATCTTCATGTATCTTAAGTAGTTTTTTAATTAAAAATAAAAAATTTTTTTGAGACGAAGTTTCACGCTTGTTGCCCAGATTGCAGTGCAATGGTGCAATCTTGGCTCACCACAGCCTCCGCCTCCTGGGTTCAAGCGGTTCTCCTGCCTCAGCCTCCTGAGTAGGTAGGATTACAGGCACACGCCACCATGCCTGGATAATTTTGTATTTTTAGTAGAGATGGGGTTTCTCCATGTTGGGTCAGGCTGGTTTGGAACTCCTGACCTCAGGTAATCTGCATGCCTCGGCCTCCAAAGTGCTGGGATTACAGGTGTGAGCCAACGCTCCCAGCCAGTTTTTTAAAGATGATCTTAAAATAAAAAAAAAAAAAAAAAAAGACAGTCTTGCTGTGTCACCCAGCCTGGAGTGCAGTAGCATTCAAAGCTCACTGCAACTAGAACTCCACCTAAGCCCCCCAAGTAGCTGGGACTGTAGACATGTGACCCCATGTTGAGCCTATATAGTTTTTTTACTTTTATTTTTATTTATGTATTTATTATTATTATTATTATTTTGAGACGGAGTTTCGCTCTTGTTACCCAGGCTGGAGTGCAATGGCGCCATCTCGGCTCACCGCAATCTCCGCCTCCTGCGCTCAGGCAATTCTCCTGCCTCAGCCTCCTGAGTAGCTGGGATTACAGGCATGCGCCACCATGCCGAGCTAATTTTTTTTTTTTTTTTTTTTTTTTTTGGTATTTTTAGTAGAGACGGGGTTTCACCATGTTGACCAGGATGGTCCCGATCTCTTGACCTCGTGATCCACCCGCCTCGGCCTCCCAAAGTGCTAGGATTACAGGCGTGAGCCACCGCGCCCGGCCATGTATTTATTATTTATTTACTTTTTGAGATGGAGTCTCACTGTCGCCCAGACTGGAGTCTGGTAGCACAACCTCTGCCTCCTGGGTTCAAGCAATTCTCCTGCCTCAGCCTCCCAAGTAGCTGGGACTACAGGGATACGCCACCGTGGCTGGCTAATTTGTGTGTGTGTGTGTGTGTGTGTGTGTGTGTGTGTGTGTGTGTGTGTGTGTGTTTGAGACGGAGTTTCACTCTTGTTACCCAGGCTGGAGTGCAAAGGTGCGGCTCACCGCAATCTCCTGGGTTCAAGCAATTCTCCTGCCTCAGCCTCTCGAGTAGCTGGGACTACAGGCATGCGCCACCATACCCAGCTAATGTTTTACTATTTTTAGTCGAGATGGGGTTTCACCGTGTTGACCAGGATGGTCTCAGTCTCTTGACCTCGTGATCCACCTGCCTCAGCCTCCGAAGGTGCTGGAATTATAGGTGTGAGCCACCGCGCCCGGCCTTTTTTTTTTTTTTTTAAGGTAGAGATGGGGTTTCACCGTGTTAGCCGGGATGGTCTTGATCTCCTGACTTTCTGATTTTCCCGCCTTGGCCTTCCAAAGTGCTGGAATTACATACAGCATGAGCCACCGTGCCCAGCCCAGCCTTTTATTTTTTATAGAGACAGGGCTTCACTGTGTTGCTCAGGCTCTCAGTAGTTGTTTTGAAGTTACATGTCAGTGTCATACATTTCCATCACAGAAGAGATTTTAAAACTACCTTTACTGAAACTTTGATGCCGTAACAACATTTATCATTTTGGGATAAATGTTTGAGGCTGGTTAAAGCTGTCCTCAGTGTAAATGCCTCCTGTTTGTAGACAGCTAGTCTGAGGATACTCGTCCATCCTAATGAAATAATTTAACAGCATTAGGAATGGATGGTCGTCTGAGCGCTTAAGATTGTTAGGTTAATTGATTTTTCATTTATTTTGATTCAAACTATTTAACTATATAGGAATTATAAGCGGTTTGTTTAAAGTACAAGAGAATCTACCTTTTTAAGGGAAAAGCCTGCATGCTTCTTTATTTTGGCTGACTTGTTTAATGCTTACTAATAGGTAGATGACCTTCCAGTGAATAGGCTGGCTTCCTGTTGCATGTTGTAGTGCAGTTGAAACTCCCCAGGGTCATCATCCTGTTCAAAGGGAAAAAGAGCATGAGCGAAGTGTCCAAATGCTGTTCTTCAGTAACCTCAGTGGTCTGGTTTACTTTGAGCATGCTGTGTTTCACTGGAGGAAAATCTGATTACAGTTTGTTGTATCTGGCTAAGATACAAAAGGTGAAATACTCATTCACAACAGCCGAGTATCCCACAATAAAATACTGTAGAACTTCTTGGGAACATTTTATTGCCCAGTTAACTATGTTGAAGCATTTCTGATAATTAGCTTGTGGATAAATAAGATTTTGAAAAAAGGTTGCAAAATACTCTTGATTCTTGAAGAGGTGAGGTTATTGGGGAAGAGTATTTTGACCCAAGATGTATGTGAAAGCTTGAACATCATTTTAGTAAGATGATTTCCTTGGCTGTGTACTTGAAGGGCTCACTTAGCATAAAGGCATTGAGTCTCACTGCACATCAGTTTTTTCCCTTTTATTGACCTATATTTTCAGGACCACGATCCCTTCTTGGTTTAGGCATCTCAGGTGTCAAGGATGATGGAAGTCCTTTGCCTGTCCGTGTTTAATACAGTTGTAACAAATACAGGGAGTTTTATGCTTGGAATGACACCTTTGTTTGTGCCTACCAAAGCCTCATGTAGTCAGTATGAAATAATTAACTGTCTTATTTTTTTTTTAAACAGGTGAAGAGCAGAATAAAGAAGTGCTGCAGGACGAGGAAGACGAAAATCAGTGAGACATAAAAGCCAACAAGAGAAACCATCTCTGACCACCCTACTCCTCCCCTCTCCACCCACCCTACTCCTCCCCTCTCTACCCATTGGAAACTCCCCACTGTCACTGAGAACCACCAAATCTGACTTTACATTTGGTCTCAGAATTTAGGTTCCTGCCCTGTTGGTTTTTTTTTTTTTTTAAACAGTTTTCAAAAGTTCTAAAAGGCAAGAGTGAATTTCTGTGGATTTTGCTGGTCCCAGCTTTTAGGTTCTTTAAGACACTAACAGGACTACATAGAGGCTTTTTCAGCATGACCGTACTGTCTCCGTGCCAGATGTGGCAAGATCACCATTAGAAATGGAAATTACATGTGAAAGCCATTAGACTTGTAGCTGGTGCAGGCATCTAAGAGAGCTTAATCACACTGCAGAGGCAGAGGTGGGATCACTTTTCATTTTTCTAATTGTTTCAACTGTATTTTATACCAATGTTTGAAAGTAATTGGGTGTTAGCTTGAGGTGGTTCAGGTTGTTTGGGGAGGGAGTCTGTTGTAATGGTTTTACTGTAAAAAGTGTTTGAAGCTCTGCTGAAATGTTGCTGAAAAGCATGGTGCTGGTAACAATTCAACAATCCGTGGCTGCTCATTCTTGCCTACTTGACTCTCCCACTGAAGCAGGTTAGCGTTGGAGGTGGTGTGGAAAAGCCTGCATGCCTGTTCAGTTCTTTGTTTCTCCTCCTTCCCCCTCCCCTCCCTCGTTCCCTCACTCCTCCCCTCCTTTGCTTGCTCAGCCTCTTTTGTTCAGTATGTGTAACTTGAAGCTAATTTTTACTACTGGATATCTGACTGGAGCCACAGATACAGAATCTGTATTGTTCTTACTGAAACACAGCATGGATTAACATTAAATTTAAGGCCGGGCTCGGTGGCTCACGCCTATAATCCCAGCACTTTGGGAGGCCAAGGCGGGTGGATCACGAGGTCAAGAGATCGAGACCATCCTGGTCAATGAGGTGAAACCTCGTCTCTACTAAAAATACAAAAATTAGCTGGGCATGGTGGCGCGTGCCTGTAGTCCCAGCTGTTTGGGAGGGTGAGGCAGGAGAATTGCTTGAATCCAGAAGGCAGAGGTTTCGGTGAGCCAAGATCGTGCCATTGCACTCCAGTCTGGGTAACAATAGCAAAACTCCGTCTAAAAAAAAAAAAAAAAAAAAAAATTAAACTTAAATAAAACAAACCTAAATTTAAAATGCCAGATATCATTGCGCCTCCATCCTTTATACTTCTAAATAAAATCTCTAGTCCAAACAGTATTATGTCTGCGTGAATGTGAAACATTCCTCCTTTTTTCTTCCATAAATAATTTGTTTGCTTCCCAAAGATGTGTATTTTGGGGAATAAAATTGCCTATAATCTGGTTGTGAAGAACACTAAGTCAATTGATTACATGCCTTGTCTTCCAAAGCAGGTAGCAACATGGCATTTATTTTAATCATTAAAGTGCAGTATGAGTAGTGCAAGGTGTAACCAGGGATCATTCTCTAGCATAGTATTTTGAGTTGTTCAACCAAATAAGGCTGAATGTCTTACAGTAATTCTTAGAGGTAACTGTGTGTGCCCTCTTCCTCCAGAGGTCAGTGGCAGTAGTGGAGAAGTACTCAGTCCTTTGTCGGTGATGCATGCACACATTGCAGACGGTGGTAAACCAGCATTCATTCCTGGAAACACTCAGTGTAAGAATCCTCCTTCCGTAGACTGTGGATACATTCGTGTGTCTAGGTACCTGGTGACTGTGGATCCAGATTATGTTGGGCGCGTTCCGACTGCCTAACGTTGATGTACACCTGAGTTTGTTAGACCAGTTTGCTACTTTCGGACAGGTGCTGCAGTCAGTACCCTTGCAACAGTTTCTGCTTAAATATTTCTTTATGTCTGAAAGGTGCATTTCTTGATTCCATGTTGAGTAAACATTTTCCAGTTGATCGGTGCTCCTTTGTCATGCCTGACGTGTAAAACTAGTTGTTGAGACGCAAGTTTACTCTGGGCTTGAACTCGCAGCAGAGATTTAGGAAATGAACAGATCAGTGATATCCTAGTGTGTCTGTCTTTAGTGAGTACTGGCAATGAGAATAAACGTGTTTTTGTGAGTCACTTTTCCGAAAGAGTCTGAGACCATTGAATATGAATTGTGCTGCTACCCGTTTGGATCGACCTCCAAGGCTTTCAGGTTGATGGTCTGCTCTGTTTCCAGCACACCTGCTACACCCAAGGTCAAAATCAAAGGAATTCATGAAGTCTATTGCCAACTTTTAAGGAAACCATGCATGGGATGCAGGGATTCTCAGGCTGCCACCATGTCTCAGCACAGCTCGTGGATGGACTTGAGTTCAGATGAACACATGTAATGGTGGGTGTTTGTTACAGAGCAGGCTTGTGGAGGTGCTTTTGTTTTATCTTGTAATGAGGCAATACCAGACGTTAACACTCAGGTTCATTCACCACCTGATTTTTGCTTGGTGAAAGGGTTTCTTAATTAAGGCTGAGTCAGCAGTTTGAAGAGGTGTGGCGACTTTTGCAAGGAGAACACACGAACCTGCCACTTGGAGAAAGGTCCTTATCACAAATGGAAAGAGGCAACTGGGGAAATGTGTGGAACGGTGGCCAGCCCTGCGTGGACAGTGTCCTCCCACTTCCGTGTTGTGGGCTGGAAAGGGAATTGCCCCAAAGTTTCTGCTATTGAGTCGTCCTTGAGGAGCGGTTGACTCAAATAGGAATTTTTAGTCACGACTTGAATGTAGCTAATTAGTGTTTTAATTACAAATCTCATCGTACTTTGCCTTGACAAAGGAAACCCCAGAGGTTTCCTAAAATGCTAGGAGCAACAATAAACAGGTTTGTGCATGCTGAGTTCCGGATGAGCAACCTGAACAGCACATCTCCAGAGTCAGGTTTCCATCCTACAGGAAGATGAGAATCAACTTTGATCGCTGAAAGCGGAAACAGATGGAAGAAATGTAGACATTTAATTGGCTTCTGTCCAAGACAAATGCCTTGAGAGTTATCAGTGAGATCTCAAATGAGCTGCTTGCTTATCCTAGGACAGTAGAGAGGGGAGCAGGCATGCAGAAAAAGCGGAATAAAGGTGTAAACCCTTGTTTTCTTTTGAAAATTGTAACAAGTATAAGTTGGAAAATGTGAAATCCTACCATGTGTCATTAAAGGAAGCCTTTGTGAGCAGCTTTAGAGGAAATGGCAGGATTCCCAGATCCAACCTGGATCAGGAAAATCAAGCCCTGTGTTTTCTCCTATTTGAGCTCCTAGGCTTGTAATTGATACTATTAATATTTTGCTAACATTGAGTATCAGCTTTGCACCAAGCACTGTGCTTATGACTGAGCAATGTCTGGAATCTAGCAAAGCATGAAGTGCCCAGTAGTAATTAGGTGAGCTGCCGCCTGCAGTTTGCAAATAGGAAAGCAGAGTAGGGAGTAGTAGCTAAGAACTTCCTCAATGCTACACGGCTAATTACTCAAATACAGAATTCAGTTAGCGTGGCTCAGGAGTTACTACCTTTGGCTCTTCACGAAAACTCAGTGTTGTCTCAAAATACTGTAATATATTCTAAAGTGATCACTTAAACGCATTTAAATGTTTTCATGGTCAGTATATGTTTTATAATTAAGTGTCTTGGAAAAGCTGTGTGAATATGGTGATACGCATATTCGCCAGTGTATTAGAATTGAAGTATAAATGATACAATTATTTGGCTACTGTATTTGGCAACTGTCTAAAGAGAAAGTTTATTTTGTAGGTTAAAGTTTTGCAATTTTTTTTTTTTGGAGACAGAATTTCGCTCTTGTTACCCAGGCTGGAGTGCAGTGGCGTGATCTCTGCCTCCTGGGTTCAAGCACTTCTCCTGCCTCAGCCTCCTGAGTAGCTGGGACTACAGGCGCATGCCACTGTGCCCAGCTAATTTTTGTATTTTTAGTAGAGACAGGGTTTCACCATGTTGACCAGGAAGGATGGTCTCGATCTCTTGACCTCGTGATCCACCTGCTTAAGCCTCCCAAACTGCTGGGATTACAGGCGTGAGCCACCGCGCCCGGCCAATTTTTTTTTAAGACAGAGTCTCCCTCTGTCTCCCAGGCTGAAGCACAGTGGTGTGATCTTGGCTCCCTGCAACCACCGCCTCCTGGGTTCAAGCGATTCTCCTGCCTCAGCCTTCTGAGTAGCTGGGATTACAGGTGCCCACCACCACGCCCAGCTAATTTTTTTGTATTTTTAGTAGAGATGGGGTTTCACCATCTTAGCCAGGCTGGTCTTGAGCTCCTGACTTCCTGATCCATCTGCCTTGTCTTTCCGAAGTGCTGGGGAAGATGTGAGCCACTGTGCCTGGCCAATTTTTGTTTTTAAAATTTAGCTTAATTTGGAAATTTTCAAAGTTTTTTTACAGTTGGAGCAATACTTCATTCCAGTCTAAGATACCTTGGCTTGGACAATAGAGCCACAGTCCACACAGCCACTATGATTACGGGTTGTCAAGTTGCCTCCCTGCCATGACCGCTTTCTTGACAAAGCCTTCGTACCTGAAGGTCACCTTCATTTGTAAGTGCTTTTGGTGGAGACATCTCCACCGTGCTGCCTGCCTTCCACAAATTGTGCTGTGTCCGTTCTCAGCTCCTGCTCTGGGGCAGAGCCTGGGTCATCCCTGATACCACCAGCGCACTGTGCTTGGCTGGAGGTAACAGACCTGCTGTGTATAAGGGGAGGCAGAAAGTTATTTTTTATTTTTATTTATGTTTGAGACAGGGTCTTGCTCTGTCACCCAGGCGGGAGTGCTGTGGCGTGATCACGGCTCACTGTGACCTCAGCATCCTGGGCTCCAGGGGTCCTCCTGCCTCAGCCTCCTGAGTCAGTGGTAGCACAGGTGTGCACCACCACGCCCAGCTAGTTTTTGTGTTTTTTACAGAGACGGGGTTTCACCATGTTGCCTAGGCTGGACTCGAAGTCTTGGGCTTAAGCAGTCCATCTGCCTCAGCCTCCCAAAGTGCTGGAATTACAGGCGTGAACCCCCCCCCCCCCCGCCCGCTGGCTGGAAACTTACTTTTTAAAATCCCTTGCTTTTTGACACTTGTTTCTCACACAACTGAAGTTATGAACGTCTGATCACACAACCGGGGCAGTGTGAGTTATGTCCAGGAGTTTTCCTCCCCACACTGAAGCTACCAAGGCGGGTTCTGGTCATGCTGCAACTCCTGGCACTGTTTGGCGCTCATGCGTCTGTCTGTCCCATAGTGCCTTTCTTTCTAGGGCTTCACAAAGATTTTCTCTTTGGCATTTAAAATCCTGCTGCTACAGAGTTAGGACAGGGCTGATGTCAGCGCCTCAGGCTTGCACCCCACTAATGGCACATTTATAGCCGCGCTAACAGGAGACATGACTGACCTCCACAGTTTTTCTTTCGGCAATTGGTTTTCTCAAATTCAGTTGTCTTAAAGAGAATTCCAGGGCGAAACCCTTTCTCTACTAAAAATACAAAAGTTAGCTGGGCATGGGGGCACACGACTGTAATCCCAGCTACTCGGGAGGCTGAGGCGGGAGAATCACTTGAATCCGGGTGGCAGAGGTTGCAGTGAGCTGAGATGGCGCCACTGCACTCCAGTCTGGGCGACAGAGTGAGGCCCTGTCTTAAAAAAAAACACAGGGCCGGGCACAGTAGCTCAAGCCTGTAATCCCAGCACTTTGGGAGGCCGAGGCGGGTGGATCACGAGGTCAAAAGATCGAGACCATCCTGGTCAACATGGTGAAACCCCATCTCTACTAAAAATACAAAAAATTAGCTGGGCATGGTGGCACATGCCTGTAATCCCAGCTACTCAGGAGGCTGGAGCAGGATAATTGCCTGAGCCCTGAA